CTCTGTACAGAGGAAAGACAAGAGTAATAGAACTAGAAACATATTACCCTTACTTTACCTACCTTATATGCTGTGCACACTGTACACTACTTTTACTCTTGCTACTTAAGTGCTTATACTATAAGCAGCTAGCTGTTAGAGCTTATTTAATACTAATTAGTAGTTAATTTAATTAACTATAAATTAGTAAGAGTAACAATAGAGTACTTATGCCTTATAAGGTACTTTGTTTTATTACTTATCTCTTAAAAAAAGTAACAGCAGAGTACCTACGCTTTATAAGGTACTTTGTTTAGTTACTTATCCCTTAAAATAGCAGATTAATCCTTTGCATTGTACAGCAAGCTCTGCTACTGTATAAAGTAAAGAGAAGATAGTGTAAAACGCACACTAAAGCTACTAAAGCTGCACAACCTAGCAGCTAGATAATAAGCACATTAATCCTTTGCATTGCACAGCAAGCTCTGCTACTGTATAAAGTAAAGAGGAGATAGTGTAAGGCGCACCTTAAAGCTATTAAAGCTGCACAACCTAGCAGCTAGACAACAGCAGTACCTACATAATCTACTAGAAAAGTAATTAACTATACTATTATAATAAAATCTTATTAGCAACTAACAACTCTATGTAATAATAGGAAAAATAAGGAACAATTTCTATTATATAAATAACTTATAAAGGATATAGGGATATTAGAGGCAACACTACAGAATAAGACTAGCCTAGAGTACTAGAATAATAAGATTAACATATTAAAGGCTCTAATAAGCCTATAGACTTAATTATATATAAGTTATATAATTACTAATCTACATATAACAACTTAGAAGGGTGCTACTCTTTTAAGTGTGTATATAAAGAATTTTAAAGAATAAACACTATAAGACTTCTTAGCACTTAGCTACACATTTAAAAGAGAGCTTATATAAGTGCTAGAGGACAAAGAAATCACACTACAGCTAGGCACTAAAGGTACCTAAGCCTAAAAGCTGTATAATATAGCACAAGGGAAGGCAATTGCACTAAAAAGGCTTTGTATGCAACCCCTATTACTATATAAGGCTCTGCACAGAAGCAGACTAAACACAATGCTGCTATTAACACTAAATATACTAGTATTACCTGCTTCTACACTTTAGCTAGCACTACACTAATCACTGTACAAACAATACATGCCACCCTACCTAACGCCTGCTCCACACCCTTAATTGTACACACCACCGCCTGCAGTAGTGTATGCACCACTGATACCACCTGCACAATCCATACCACATTACAGCCTATACAAACTTCCACCCTAGAGGGAAACTGCTAAAGAAAAACTCCTAGCAGACAAGATTATACAATTCTAAAAGGCATAAAAGAAAGATAATAACTATACAGGTTAACTATATAATATCTTTATAGACAAAACAAGGATCTTTATTAATCTATGTTAATAGCTAAATATCTAGGAAACTTAGTACGCAGACATCTTTCTAGATATTCTAGAAGGTTAGGCAAATATGCACTATATGCACAACATAGGCCCTAGAAATAACTAGAAGCATTTGTACAACACCTTAAGCATTATAACAAAGGATTTTGCGCAAAGAGAAGAGAAGAAACTGCAGAAGGCAAAGTTCTGTGTAAAGGGCAAGACTATTCTAGCAGAGAAGCAACTTATTAAGTTTAACAGCAAAAGGATTAAACTCACGCACAACACAGTAGTCCTTACTTAGAAGGGATAAGTAAGCCACCTTTATACAATTAACCTAGAGGACAAGGATGCTGCACAACAATATGTCAAGCAACGTGCGAGAGGGGCATACATTGCATCTGTGTGTTAACTAGAGGCAGCATTTAACCTGTCTATTGCTGCACAAACTACAGACCCTTTACACAACAACATTAACGCACTTAACACACAAATCTAATGGCAGATAGACAACACTCACAGCTAGGATTCTTAATTATATTAGGCAATAAGGACTGTACAGAGCAAAGCAACTGCTTTAAAATACTAGGCAACATTATACACTAGAATTCCACTAAGTGTAAAAGAGTAACTAGGAGTGTTCTTGCTAGTAAACTGTACAGAATAGTTAAAGGGTTTAATAATGCAATTGCTCTTAGTACAACTCTACAGTAAATTATACAAACACTTAAACTGCTACTAATTCTAGTAGTAATCTGCATAGATTTAAGGTTTCTATATAATTACTTTGTTAAGCTAGGCACTACTAGTAAAAAGCAACTTATAATTAACATTATGTTACTTTATAAATTATATAAAAAAAGGGAAATTACTAAGATAAGGTAAATTAATAGTAAAGATAACCTAGTAGATGCATGTATAAAGAAAACACTAAACTAGGCTCTTTAATTATTAGTCCTAACTAACTGCCTCTCTGTCTAGATAGAAGCATCTGTGGACTAGCTAGATCCTGTGCGCAAAGATGCCTTAGACTAACTAGACTAATAACGCCTTTATATAAGGCTTATTTCCCTTTGTTTTGTTTTTTTTTATATTATACATACTTATTTTTCTTATTATAAGGATCTGTCACTGCTAGCACTATATAAAAAGAGAAAAGAGCTAGGAGATTGTATAGCAAGGCTTAGAAAGTAAAAAATAAAGAAAAAAAGAGCTATTTACATAGCATAACTAGCCTATCCTAACGCACAGCATTACTAAGGCAAGTCCTAACAAATAGGGGTAGAGTAAAGGCAGAACGTAATTAAATAGACCTACACAGACAGAAGAGAGGTAATGTGTACAAAAGGCAACTCTTTAGATAAAAAGAAAAGTTGCTAGTGTCTGTACACAGCAGCAGCGTCGCGTCCTAGATACAAACAATTGCGCACAAGCAGGATCACGTATCTATGTTACATAATGCTTGTGCGCGAACCTCTGTGCGTAAACATCTAAATATCCCCCTTTTCCTCTGTACAGAGGAAAGACAAGAGTAATAGAACTAGAAACATGTTGCCCTTACTTTACCTACCTTGTACGCTGTGCACACTGTACACTACTCTTACTCTTGCTACTTAAGTGCTTATACTATAAGCAGCTAGCTGTTAGAGCCTATTTAACATTTAGTATAACTTTATAGTAAATTATATAAACACTTAAACTACTACTAATTCTAGTAGTAATTTACATAGATTTAAGGTTTTTATATAATTACTTTATTAAGCTAGGCACTACTAGTAAAAAGTAACTTATAATTAACATTATGTTACTCTGTAAATTATATAAAAAAAGAAAAATTACTAAAATAAAGTAAATTAATAGTAAAAATAACTTAGTAAATATATATATAAAAAAAACACTAAACTAAGCTTTTTAATTATTAGTCTTAACTAACTGCCTCTCTATTTAGATAGAAGCATCTGTGGACTAGCTAGATTCTGTGCGCAAAGATGCCTTAGACTAACTAGACTAACAACGCTTTTATATAAGGCTTATTTTTTTTTATTTTTTATTTTTTTTTTTTTTTATTATACGCACTTATTTTTTTTATTATAAAAATCTGTTACTGTTAGCACTATATAAAAAAAAAAAAGAGCTAGGGGATTATATAGTAAGGCTTAAAAAGTAAAGAATAAAAAAAAAAAGAGCTATTTATATAGCACAACTAGCCTATTCTAATGCACAGCATTACTAAGGCAAGTCTTAATAAATAAGGTAGAGTAAAGGCAGAATATAATTAGATAGACTTACATAGATAAAAAGAAGGTAACGCGTATAAAAGGCAACTTTTTAGATAAAAAGAAAAGTTGCTAGTGTCTGTACGCAGCAGCAGCGTCGCAGCCTGGATACGAGCGATCACGCACGAGCAGGATCACGTATCTATGTTACATGATGCTTGTGCGCGAACCTCTGTGCGCAAACATCTAGATATCCCCCTTTTCCTCTGTACAGAGGAAAAATAAGAAGTAATTAACACTAGTTACCTAACACCCCTGTGCAATGTTTACACCGTGCAAACCTCTCTGTCTCGTACGCATTTGCTGACACTAAGTGCTAGCTAGCAGAGAGTCCATTCAACATGCTGTAATAAAACGCCAGGGGAGTGATTATGGTTGGGGTGGACAAGAGAGCAAGTAAAAACTTATCGAAAATGAGCTGGTGGGTGGGAAGAGGGAGGGATAAGATCAAAAGTTCAAGTTCAGGGTTGCATGTCTACAGGCTTTGAGGGGGGAAGGAGTAGCGGAGGGGGGGGAGGACAGTGAGGAACCAAGTGCTCATCATGAGCATTCGAATAGAACTATGCACTCGGCACTCTGCGCTCGCACTCACACCTCAAGCTTCCTTTTCCGAAGGCCCAACCAAGGCCTCTAACTGGATATCGTAAAGCCCTGTCTCACCGCAAGCCATGCAAGCAGAGATCACAACTTGTTATTCCCCTCACCGCTAGTAGAATTGCGCCTTCCAAGTTCCACGCGCCTTTCCAGCGGCTTCCCAATCTCGTCATATCGTTATATCAATTCGGATTTTCTTCGATTCTCATGGAATGGATTTCGTATTCTTTTAGAAATGCAGATTGTACATGAAGAAAACTTTTATTCCATCTGAGCACGCACGCATAGCACCATCGCTCTTAGTATAAAATACCAACACCTGTGTCGAAGTGTAGAGTGGGAGCAATAAGCTGCACTCAGAGGGCTAATATACCCGGCAAGAAAATGGTTGCTATGCTTTAATGCTCATGCGGATCTTCCTCGAGGAGTTTTGCAAGTCCGGCCGCGGGTCGTCCATGAATTTTTTGCTGCATCTGTTTTTGCCCTATCGGAAAGGCCCACGCATTTGTGATCGAGGTAGGAGTGTTTTAGACCCTAGTTCTGGTGGAGATGTGCGAGAGGGAGTCGAAAAGTAGAGTTAGGGAGGTTTATATACTTCCCAATCCCACCGTCTCGTTATATGGATTCCGGATCCTCTTCGAAGCTCATGGGTGCCGCTGAAGTGGATTTTGGAAGTCCAACCAGAAGTAATTAAGGATCCTGGAGTACAATTTTATTCCACCAGAAGCGCACATGTATGTGCGCGATATTCGGATTCTTTTAAGATTCAGCGCCGCTGGAGAAGTGTAGAGTTGAGGCTGAGAAGCGGATTCGGAAGGGTTCATATACTCTGCGAGGGGAAGGTATGGTGAGTAGTAAGTGATGAGTGCAGAGTGCTGGTGACCGTCAACTAGAGGGGAAGCCACCACCAATTCTCCAGCCTCCTTCTCCTTCTCTCAGCCAGGGATTGTACGTATATCTGTGCCACACTCCTCCGTCATTTTCTTGGGTTCGATCTGGTTCGTGCAGCGTCTGGGCTAGAGACATGAAGAACTATGGAACAAATTTTAATACTCCCACCCAAGTGTATTTCCCAAGGTCCGGTAAGTGATTTTGGCGGCCAGAATATTAGCCCATTACTTTGCATTGTTATTGTTTTCGAGCAACGATGGATTTTCTACCCCACCTTGAAACACAAAACATGGATCGGTGCTGTGGTCATTTTTGCTTTGGTCGAAGGCCGTACGCATTGTCTTAAAATCTTCGCCTTTCAGTGGAGCCGTGAAGCTGATGTGCAGGAAATTGAGAACGAGGATAGAGCAGGTCCAAAGGGTTATCTATACCTACGAGTAAGGTACGTACAGTCAAGATCCAGCTCCCTGATGTGATAGTGATGAGCAATTCTAGGTTTCAGGAAACGATATGTGTGCTACCGAAATTCGAAGAGGACAAAGGATGGTAGTGGTAGTTGCCATTTTTGTTAGATCAAAAACTGTACGTATGGTACCGGAGCTGAAACTTGTAGTGGAGTCTAAAGCGTGAACTTGGGAAGAGGAGAGCGAGAGAAGCGTGTTCAAGAGTATGTATACCGCTACGACCGAGTTGCGTACTCTCAAGGCCTGGTCCCTGATATGGGTATGAACCGTATGATTAGCATTTGTTCTCCGATTTCCCTCCTAACCTCTATCAATCTTGAATTCCTTTCCATACGCCAACACATATGCCTAGTAGAGAGGCTGCTTTTGGAGGGCTGCCGGATCAAAGCATGGCCAAAGCTCGTTCATATTTCAGTTTCTATAGCAAACACCCACATAGCGCTTATTTCCTTTGTGTTTTGATGCCTTAGGCTGCAGTGGCTGATTTTTCTGCCCCCACGGGATCTCAAAGTCCATGGTTGTCTTTCTTCGTGCTTTTAAAAAAAGAGATGTTGGGTATTTATGTTCATTTTCTGTTCTGAAGACTGCTCTGAAAGGACTGTCCCGAAGCGATTTTAATCTAGTCCTAGGGACGACAAGTATGGAGGAATAACGAGAAAGTGCTAGTAGAAAGTTCATCTCTTATATACCACAGAGACTTAGAGTTCGCATAAAGTACGAATTCTAGACTCAAGGGCAATTATAAAATCTCGCAAGCCCGTACTTCCGCCATCCTCCTAACCGGCTGTCATCTTTTCCAAACATTGGAGGTATGCTAACGATTCTTTTCGCCTCTGGTTCCACGCCATGATTTGTTCGATGAGTTCGTTTATTGATCCACGCCAGATAGGTATGATGGCTTTCTTAGGAGTTTTTAGAGGCGCACGAACCGCAAACATTATTCAGTGATATGTAGCAATGTTTTGGCGCAGAATATGGCCGGAGTGTCCTCGATGTGAACCCCATTTTTACAGAGATCGCAATATTTTTGTCTGCCACAGGAGGAATTCCCTCACATGCCCAAGAAACCGTTAATTTTTTTTGTGAGAACTAATGGGAGAAGTGTGGAGAGTAGAAGCCAGGAAACGAAGTGAGAGGAGTGATTAAATACTCTACTCTTGGTATCGATAAGAGGACCCATGTGACCCAGACCTCCTCCGTAACCTTGAAAATTCACTTCCCTTCAGTTGATCTCGCTTCACGGGGGTATACAGCCGATTTTACTGTCACTCTTCTGCTTCTCACGCTGCGTCTGGACGGTAGCAAAATTTGTTTTCCAGCGATATGGTGTGTCCAATGCTGAAGCCTCACGTCGGTGGAGTCAGGAGTCTAATTTCTGAACTAAACCATTACTTTTCTCTCAGGATTCTTATCGAAGACGGTCATGGCTGAAGAACACTCTGTGTGGTAGGCATATTGAAGGACTAAAAACTTGGAGCAGCAAATGATCCATGAGTTTCCCCACATCAAGGGGAGCCAATATCGAAAATTCTTGCTTCAATTTCAGCGGTTTGGGTTTGGAGATTCGGTACATTTTCATGCTCGAGGATGCAAGGCGATCAAAAATTGAAGGACCTTAATGTCGATGATGTACGGATTAGATACTTCGAATTGGGGAGGAACATGACAATGACCTAGTTTGCAATAGGCTAAGTCTCGACCGTTCTTCGGACTTGCCGATAGCGGTATTGGTGAATGTAACCGGCTGCAACAGCTGTTCCGAGTGTACGTGCTAGTTTTGGTGCAGAGGGACTAGCACGGCTTGCCAGTTTGAGACTGTTTGGCGGGGTTGGGTCGCGGTTGCGGAAAACGTCTTGCTGTCGCGATAATCTGTATGTCTCCTGTCATCTTCTCTCGGTCGAGCAATAGAGTTGAAGGATATGTTGAGTGTAACTGGATACTACTAATGCAACAGACATCATTTCATAACCCGTTTTAAATAATTTATTACCACATTGCTTCTAGATCCCCCTAATTTACTGTCATGATCCCGAAGAGATCCTGGATCGGTATACTAGCGTACAAATACGCGATGGATTTGGTGTTTGCGGAAGTGGGGACTCAATGTTTGAGGTGTTGAAGTTCGAAAGATCGGAGGAGCGTACCTCCAGAAGGAACTGGAATATTAACGAAAATTTCATATGAGCCTGTGTGAAATGATACTGTTGATTGAATTTTTTGCTAAAGAAGCTGATCCTGAAGTTGCGAAAGATGCAAGGCGGAAGGACCTATTTGTAGCGAGAGTCGTAAATAATCCCCCACTGCGCTACGCATATTCTTTAGACATTTGATTTCCCTTAGCCAAACACCACTATCCATAGATCCTCTAAAAGTTCGTGCAAAACTTGCCAAACTTCCGACTCGTAATCGGTTGCGGGAAAACTCCCCCATCTAGCAACTGGAACAAATCCCACTCTCCAGCGCCTCCATTCTCCGTCTTAAAGTTCCAGAAAAACCAGCCCTGCGTCTTCGCCTCGAACGCATCCAACTGCGTCTCGATGTACCGCCTCGTATCGTCTTTCCAACCCTGCGTCCAAGTCGAAACCTTCCCAGATTTGCCGGCACACGACCCGACGCGGAAACTGCCCGGGAAAGTACCTTCGTAGCGATTGCCAGCTTTAAAGCCGTTGAGGTGGGGTGCGCAATCAGTCATCGCGCCAGACCATTCGCCAATAACGGTCCATTTGTCGGAATTGGAGTAGCCGCCGACGGCGTTGCAGACTTGCTGCCGGTGCTGCGCCGGGGTCATGGCCATGAGGTTGGAATCGAAAATTTGGTATTCGTGATGGTCCATGATGACGTTTTGAGCATTGTTGTCCGAAGGCGTTAGAACGGTGTTCAACCAAGCTGGGTCCCAGAAGCCGTCATGAAGCATGACCGGAGTGTCGCTTATCTTGCGTATGTTGGTGTATCCGTCGCGGTAGAATTTTCGGACTGCGTTTGGATCCAGTTTGGATAAGAAAGGCTCATTGACAAGCTCGATTGCAATGACGACGTCTTGCATGGCGGGAATTGCATACTTTTGCTCAATGAGCCTCAATGTTGTATGCGTCTGAGCGAGGCTGTCTCCAAAAAACCAGCCTGGTGATGGTAGGCGATGTCCGGAATGGTCGAACCCATTCTGGGATCTTGGGACACCGTGTAGGTCAATGACAACCTTCAAGCCCGTTTGTCTAGCCCATCCAATCGCTTTATCAAGGTAAGGTGCTGCTCCGAAAGTGTACGGTCCTCCAGCGTCTATGTACGCCCAGTAGCCGATGGGAATGCGGACTACATTGAAACCTTCACCTAGTTTAGCTACTGTGCAAGTGAATAATTGCTAAAGCTCTCACCTGCGTTCTTTATTTTCTGGAAATCTGCGAGTGTGACAAAAGTATCCCAATGAGGTTTCAGAGCGTTTGCGCAAGCTGTTTTCCCGAGCTTTTCGCAAAGCGTCCATTCGTCGTGGACTTCGTCAGTCACCGAGTACTTCAGGAAGATGGAGGGAGTGATGAATCTGGAAAAAAGGTTAGATGATGTCCTAATAATCGGCGAAGGGTTTCTTACGGTTCGAGTACAAGCCAACCACCGATGTTCACTCCTCTGACTTTGGTAGAGCCCCAGGCATATGCGACACTCCGCGATTGAAGGTCCCTGTCTTAATCAGTATGGGAAGGGTGATTAGGCAAAAGCGGGACTTACGATGCTGGAGCAGCGCTAACCAGCGATCCCACAACCGCTAGGGCAGCCGTCACCGAAGCTTTGAAAAGCATTGCAAAGTCAAATGTAGTCAATTACAGTATTAAACAATTAAGAAAGCGCATTAAGATTCAGCGAGTGACTGTCTGGGGTGAGTTGAAAAGAGAGTGGAGTCAAATTGACCAGTACATGTGAAGTACGGAGTGCAGTACCAGGTATCGTAAGACACGCCCGAACACTGGTAGCCTCACGGGGAGAAAGAACGAACAAGCAATCAAAACTCTCACGATGGGCCGTGGGTCATATGTTGATTTTGTATTCAACTACCCCTAAAATCAAGAATGACATTTTGACGAGATTGGTGGAGCCACATGATGTGCCCCTGCTTGGCGGCCTACCTTCAGCAAGCCTCCAACAGGACCAAGGGACTGTGGAAAACCGAAGGCGTTCAGTAAGAACAGTAATTGGTTTCAGCCCACTCTGGGCTGAAGAACGCGGCAACTATTTTCACGAAAGCGTGCATTTCCAGGTCAGGGGAAATGGCCAGATCAACGCCACAAGCGATCGCGCGGTGCCACCACGAGCTTGTTTATTCACGCAACATGACGGGCGTCTGGGAGCGATGAGCATTACTCGCTGTGGGCTAGATAGAGAATAGAGTCTAAGAAGGGGTTTCGCAGTGCATACGAATGGAGTGAAGTCGAATGAAGGTTGACGATACGAGGCACCAAGTGGCGGAAGGATTGAGGAGTTACCGAATTGGGCCTCGGATGTCTTGGCAGACTTCAGGGGTGTGATCAAGGAAGCACGCCATTAAATTCCAAATGCTGTTGAAACCGGAGATATTGATGAACAACTGCGATTCCCGACACTCTCAAAATCAAATGTCTTGCTCACAGAGCCTCTGAAGAAGATGCTCCAAACAACCGTTTGTCCACAATTATTTACCACAATCCGACAACACCCGGCCATGGCCTCGCCAGCCTCATTACTCCTAGGTTCCCGTGAAGTTCGTTGTCGTCATATCCTTATTGCCCGGCACAATGAACGGCTCCGACTTAGGCAGGGTATCCACAAACGCATCATCAACATTCAAATGATCCTTGACAATCTGCTTCGGAGTAAGACCAAGCCATTGGTTCACGCTGATATCGCTGTAGCTTGTTGCTTGCAGCACTTCCAATAAGATTAGAGGTTCGCTACCTGTGTTCTCGAGATAGTGCGCGTTTGGAACGGGGATGTAGCCGACGTTACCGGCTGAAAAGTCGAATGTGCGGCTAGACGCCGGGGCTTGGTAGACGGTGAGACGAGCGGTGCCTTGTAAGAAATATGTCCACTCATCTGATGTGGTGTGCCAGTGCATTTCTCGCATAGCGCCCGGTTCTACGGTGACAAGAGCGGCGGAAAACATTTTTGCGATGGGGAATGTTGCTGGATCAATCACTTTGATGCTGCCTCCAGGAACTCTGTAGGGTTGTTGTTGGGACAGATGGTAACTGTATGAGGCTTCCTTTGGCAGAAAACCAGCGGGTCCTGTAACGTTTTGGTCTTGGATATTCTTTGGGGCAGGTGTTCCAGGGAAGATCCACAGTTGCCCATCCGGCAGCTTCTTGAACGTCTCGACCGAGGTCCGGAAGTTCTTCGCGACGACGCTTTCGGGATTGCGCTCCATGAGTTCTGAGACGAGGAAAGTTTCGTCTTCGCTGAACTCTCCGTCGTCGAAGACTAGGAGGAACTCGCATCCATTTTCAAATGCTTGAATAGAGTGCGGAACGCCTTTAGGGAAAAACCATACATCGCCGGCCGTAACATCATCAACAAAGGTCTGTCCTGCCTCATTCACTGCAGTGATGCGAACAGATCCATTTAACATCAAAGCCCACTCTCCAGATTTGTGCCAGTGGAGCTCTCGATACGCATGCGGCGACAGCCTCATATTGACGCCAGCCATGGCGGTAGCGATTGGAAGCTGATCAACGTTCTGTTGTCTAGCCCAGCCTGCGCCAGCTAAGCCGTGTCGATTGTGGGAGAGTCCAAACGGCCATTTCGCATTCCCTACATCTCCGGAATCGGTTCCAGGTGGAATGAACAAGTCGCTATTGAGGCGGTCATACGCTTCTGTCCTTTAGGATAGATAGAATTAGCACGAGTAATTAAGCAATGCCTAGAATCTTGGCTGCTTACCTTGGACCAGGATCTGTCGGGCCGGTCGATCCTCCCCGTATCGGCTGAGGATTCTTGACTTTCGAGAGGTCAAGGTAGAGACCAAGCTGCTCATCCTCTGTTTGTCCTGGTGCCAGCTCAAATTCATCGGGGGGAACCACCGTTGTTGGTTCAGTCGGTACCGGTATAGAAGGATTGTTCCCCAGGAGCGATGCTGGTCCTCGAAGCGAGCCAGAAACTCCAGAAGCTCCTGGCGGAGCAACATGACCGGATGATGCAGCCTGAGGGGCTGGGAGAGCCCCCACTTGAACGACCGAAAGAATTAAGGACGCTTGAGAGAGCTTCATGTTGACAAAACCGCAGCCTAAGGCTCAGAATCTTCGGCAGGAGAAGATGGAGGAGGAAACGAAACTATGCGGGTGAGGATGTGATGACTGCGGGGAACCATCAAACTAGTACATACTGAGTAAAGCCCCTGGTCTCCCTTCTCTTTCTAGGGTCACATCTAGGGCCGAAATTTGCGCCTTTCACTCTTCTTTCAGTCATCAGAACCGTACAGGGATTACCCACCTACCTTTAATAATAAGGAGAACCTCATTGAAGGAACTATATGGATCCGCTGAGCCGTTTACGGTGAGGGGTCGTGAGTAAAGATAGAGATGACAAAAAGTGGAAGGTGAAATACTAGCGTAGCGTCAAGTGTTCCCAATGTAGAGGTTCACGGTATATTTGTAAGACCGAACTCTAGAAATCAAGGTCCTATGCCTCCGAAAGTACTTTTTGCAGACCATTTTGTTAAGGTGGACGAGGAATGAAACACGGAGAAGTCGGGGTAAGACGGATAAGTGTTGTTGATTGGCGCGCACAATGCCTCCGGAAAACTTTCTGCTGGGGATTTGGCTATTCACCCATCATCAATGGTACCAAGGTGTTCCTGGAAAACCATTGCTCGATCCTCGAGAGCTCTAATTATCAACTGCCGAGGTTGGTGGAGATAAAGAGAGAAAGGGAGATGAGTGTGTCGTAACCTACAAGGGTGGGTAAGCGGGGTCGTTGCTCCCCGTGATTCTAGCTGTCCTTGATGTCATATTCAATTTGCGACCATCCCAAAGGTATCCATCTAAGCCTGCATAAGCCCTGAAAGCATAATTTCCGCGTTGACATGCATATTTCCGTGCTCTTTTGACGGATAAGGAAATATTTACCTCGCTATAGAACATTTGCCCCGATAAATGTTTCAGCTGGTCCCGCGCCGCAAAAGAGGTGTAGGATACAGAAAACATACGCAAAGGCAGAAAACCCTATTCCCGGGAGAATACATCAGCGTGATCTGCCGATATATCATTTCTCCAAACTCTTCGCGCTCGACTCCAGCGCGGCGTTCCGTGTTTAGTATCCAACCATGCTGCATTTCGGCATCCAAATAGAAAGCGAGCCGAGCCTTTCAAAACGTCACGCCAGTTAATCTTGCGCCAGGCTCCATTCATCTTCGGGCTGGCCATATTCTAGGATGCTACGTCAGTATCTAGCTCCTTCTACTTCACTCGACAAAACCTAGCATCTCGTCCATAATACCCGCAAAGCTCTTCGTCTCGCGATGTTTCCCGCTAGTGATCGGCGGAAACTGTGCCATCTTCTGTTTAAAGTTCTCAGCTTCGAGGATAGCGGGCGCAAGATTTCTGCACGCACAAGTTAGAAGATTTTGGGGTAGATGGAGAGATACCTACTTGACATCGCCTCGAAGAAGGTAATTAGATTTTGCCATGGCGTTGGCTAATTCGTCTTGGTGGTTGTCAAGCAGGAGCGTGTTTGGAACAACTATGAGAGGGACTTGATATCGTAGTGCTGCGAGGATCGACCCAGAGCCTAACACACTTCAACGGCTTTTCCTTTTGGGGTGTTGTTAGAGTCGAAGAACCCACCGGCATGCGAGATGACGACTCCGTTCGAGCACTGTACCAGCTGGAACTGCTCTTTCAAGCCATCTAGGCTGAAGTCAAAGCCACCGATCTCCAGGTGTTCTGTTTTTAGGGGGTGTTCTAGCAAACTTTGACGAGCGATCTTGGCGCGGTCATCGAATAGCTTCTTTGCGGCTCCATATTGGACCAAGAGGTGTGTATACCCAGCGTTTTGTAAGGCTTCAATCGATGAAGGGTGTAGGACGGATTCGATCAAAGCCTCAAAAGGGGCAGTAGCTCCAGTCGTGACAAAACAAGCCTTTGCAATGGACTTTCCACCTGTAGCTAAATTCACTTCCATTTTGATAGCCAGGCGTGATGACACTTGGAATGGTGGAAGTGATGAGTGTGAGAAGGGCAGCAAGCCTCAATCTATTGGTTCGGCAACCGGTAGTATATTTATCCGGATGCCAAGGCTTGCTTCATCCGCGAAAAAGTTGCGGAGCTTGATGCGGAGCTTGATGGCTTCTAGAACACCAATGACTTCCATAACGAGGAGAGTATTACTACATCCGAGACGGGCTTCACCACGGATACCAGTCCGATGCTCAGCCCCGAAACCCACAATACAATGGCAGCGATCATTGTCGTCGACCGCACCGCGCTTCGATGATCCACCAAACTCCACGTCAGGACAGACACCAAAAGCCGAATCCAAGCCTGTCGCGAAATCAACAAGCAAGCGGAAAGCCAAAAGGGCCGCTCCCCTCACTGAGGATGAAGAGCGCGCCCTCCAATTCGCGACCCTGCGCAAAGACCTCGAACGCCTCGACCCGGACGTTGAGAAAGCCGCCAAAGAACGAGGGGAGCAGGGAATGCCGTGGCTTGACAACTACGAATTAACGTCAGACGAAGACTTCGAAATTGCAGAGACGAAAGGGAGAAGGGACGGTTTCTGGTCTGAGGGCGAGGAAGCCATGGGGCCGGATGAGGATTATTATGGAGATGACTTGACGAGTCTGGGTCATGCAGAGCTGGAGCAGCATAGAGATGTGCGGCAGTATGCTAGATTAGCGGCTTGGGAACTTCCTCTATTATCACGTACGCCACACACCCCGTTCTCTTTTTCAGCTACTTTCAACTGGCCAAGGCCCTAATTGGAACGTGTAGAGCTCGCCCGCCCCTTTGAACTCCCCTCCGCAGCCACCCCCTTCCGTTTCCGCTACACCTCTTACCTCGGCGAAAGGCATCCAGCAACCAACAAAGTTGTCGTCGAATTCAGTGCTTCAGACCTTCCCTCCCTCACCGCCGTCCAAAAATCCAAACTCATTAAGCTCGCTGGACCCCGCTACAACCCCTCCACCGACACCATCAAAATGTCGTGCGAACTCTACGACACACAAGCGCAAAATAAGCGATGGTTAGGCGAAAAAATCACTGCACTATTAGCTGAAGCTAAAGATGGAGAGGATACTTTTGAAGACGTGCCGTTTGATTTCAGACACCACAAGCCTAAAGTGAGACATGAGTTCCCGAAGGAGTGGATCTTGACCGAGGAGCGCAAGAAGTATTTGGAGGAGAAGAGGGCGAGCTTGCAGAAGTTGGATTACGAGAAGAGCGAGAATGGGCAATTGGTAGATGGAATGAAGATGATTGAACAGACGTTGCCGTATGTGTTGCCGAACGCGGAGCCGGTGGCTGTGCCGGTAGGTAGGGCGAGGGGGAAGACGTTGCGGTAGATGAATTGAAGGGCAAGTGTATCATGTGTATTATATCTCTAGGAGAAGCAGTTTACGATACATTGTATGTAGACAACATCGAACAGCTGGAATTGTGTGAACGTAGGAATATCATAACATATACCTACTAGAAACAGCTTCTCCCGTACATGCATGCATCTATGCTTTGCACATCTAGACCCCCCACAAAAACCCCAAAGACCCAGAAACCAAGCCTTTACCGCCATCTCCCTCATCGTCTACGCCAACAACCCCCTCCCCCTCATCTACTCTCTCCAACCCCTCTGGACCAACCCCATCCTCCCCATCAAACACCATCCCACTCAACCCCTCCCTCTCTGCCCCAATCAACGGCGCCCTCTCCCCCTTCTGTCTCGAAAAATGCCCCCCCAACACTAATCGTCAGCGTGCTCAACCCATGCACAAGAGTACTCCCCAAGACCATAAAACATGTCACCGGCCAGACCAACACCATCGCTTTTTGCCGCTCAATAGGTAGGTCGACTGGAGGATGTGGAAGTGGTAAAGATGTATCGGTTTCTAATTGCGCGTGTGCTTCTATGGCTAGGAACAGTGCGCCGACGCCCATGGGACCGAAGTGTCCGCAAAATAGCGCTTCGGAGGTTGTTTGAACTTTGGGGAGGAAGTGAAGGGAGTAGAGAGCGTAGACGATGGAGATGCGGCGGAAGAATAGGATCAGAGCTAGACAGACTAGAAGGCGGAGAGGGGTGATAGTAGTGACCGTGCCGTCAAGATAGGTGTGGACGTGGGTGAAGCTGGCCCATGGCACCATCGCGCTGAAAAAGACTAACATCGTGGAACTCAGCATTAGATCGATTATCACAGGAAGCCGGGTGTCAGCGGTAGAATTTTTGCCTGCATGCGAGAAACCAAGACCCGCAGAGAACGCGACGAGGAAATCGTCGACGCTAAGGGTGCTGGCGAGACCGACGGAGAAAATGGCAAGCAGGAATTAGAACGCGAGGTATGACGCTGGACAGATTATCCCGCGATGGTGTGAGAAAATATAGATACGATTTGCTAGGTAGCCAAGTACAAGACCCGGGGTAGTGCCCATGACACATTGGTAGAGGATGGTGATTAGGAGCCATTTTTTTAAGAACCCTCCAAAGGTGGAACGTGTGAGGATGCTGAGACCAATGTAGAGGAAGGGGAAGGATATCCCGTCGTTGTAACCGCTTTCTGCGCTTAAAAGTTTTCGGATCCGCTTTACTACCCTTGTGCTGAATTGAGAGTTTGAAAGGACGGAGGCAGCGAGGACAGGGTCGGCGGGAGCGAGGCAGGCGGAGATGATGAGGGCGGTTGTGATGTTGGTTTCGAAGAGTAGGGAGATGAAGGAGGCGCAGATGATCCAGCCGGAGGTCATCACGGGACCGAGAAGCACTCCAATGCTCTTCCAAGCTTTGGTGAAGTAGGACTCAGGAAGTCCGAGGCCGACGGCAAAGCATTAGACACCGACAACTATGCGGGCGAATTCTTGGATGACATTGTCAGTGAAACCCCATTTATAGGGAGTGAGGATTCCAAGGCCGCGTGGACCAACTAAAATGCCGAAAACGGTTGCTAAAGGCGGTTCAGAGAGATGCAAACGGTTCAGAATACAGAGGGAGAAGAGTGCATAAAGCAGTAGGAAGAAGGTGAGCACTAAGTAAGTCAGATGTGGCGGTGTTGGCTCGATTTGTGACCACAGCATCTTTGATCGGACGGCAGACCTGGCACAAAAGCTTACTGGAAAAGCTCAAAGATGTCGATTAAAGAACGTTTCGTGCTAAGTCGCTATGGACGATCAATGACGAAAGAGAAGGATTGAGACTGCGGGCGCTAGGGGGCTTGGTCAACTGTATCTGTCCAAGTTCCAGTGCGAAGTCAGCGGTACCCTTGGAAGAGCATCCAATACGGTAGATCTTATTGCACAATATTCCCAAAACCTAACAACATATCAGGATCTATCGTGAACTGCAAGCCAGTCAGAGTTTCTGTCGTTGATGTTGTTATTGTACCGCATCTGCTTACCTGAGGCAGGACAAGGAAGAGACAATTCAGAACAGGAATTCTGATCCGATTGACGTTCTCCTTAATTCCAGTAAGAGGGTTGACCGATCAAATCCGCCCTGTTAATTTCTACGTTAGGCGCGAGCTTGCTTTTGGACTTCAAGGACTGGTGGTGATGTCTGTGCGCAGGGATCTCTCGCAGATGTCTGGATTCAGCAATCGTGCTATGAAGCATGGTCCTCTTCCCTCTTCATCCATATAAACCCGAAACGCCTTCAATCGCTGAATGCAGCAGATTTTCTGTAATTGCCGTCGCGGCTGGTGTGATTAAAATACATAAAACGAAGTGTGCCCAAAAAGCCCAATTATGCAATTGTGGAAGGGTATCATGCTAGATAAAATCGTCATCGGGCGGAGGAGAGAATAAACCAAAGCGTATCCTGTGGGCCTGTACACAAGTGTGAGTTTTCCGTAGCATAGCGGAGGTTGGATTGTAGTAGCCTTACCACCGGCAGCTTTGGCAGGATAACAGCTATCGTAGCCAAGCAATTGACAGTGAAATATACAAGGTCGTAATGGGTATAATGTGTGCTGATCAGGAACAGCAAGATAGGGACACTCAATAAAAATTTCTTCGCGGGAGTGTATTGGTCTCCGTTGTCAATCTGCTCCCACATGTTGAGGTTGTCGTACGCGCCCGCGTTGAAATCGAAGGGGACACCGCGCACGTAGTGAAACATGAGGTAAGACCCAAACATGTACGAAATGTTAGTGAGGGTCCACGAAGTCTCCTGCGAAACCCCTGGGATGATGTCGAAGAGGATTTTGGCAAGGACGATGAGGACAAAGTGGATTGCCCAGGCACCTGTAGCCAGTTAGCCCTGCTGTGAACGGGCCTGGCCTGAGGAGGCTCGAGCTGCGGGGTGGAGGGGCAGTTCCCGAGTCCCAATTCACTCACCCTTCGCGTTGACCCAGTCTGCATTCAGGTTCGGGAGGGCAGACTGGTCGCTGATGTGCTCCAGGGACTCCGGAGGCTCGGTGTAGACCAAACTACTGGAGCGCCTCCTCCGCGCCTCCTTCGCATCAAAAGGCATTTTGCCAGACGATGCGCTTAATTGGCGGGGCCGCGGATCGCCGGCAAAGCTGAGGCGGGTGGTGCGGTTGAGGAGTATGGGAGACAGTTTGGCGGTGTTGACGGGGGGCTTTGGGAAAGGGTGGGACGGCGTAGGAAGGCGATCGGAAGGATGATCAAGGCTGGCGGAGAGGTCTGGAAGCAGAAGAAAGGATTAGTAGAGGACACCAGGTGTTAGGGCGGTGTGAATGAGAGCAAGTGGTCTTACTGTATACGCAACACCTTCCGCTGTGTCCGAGCTCCGGCACGGGTAAACGAATGGCGCGAGTTGCTGCGAGGCGATGAAGACGGACGGTTAAAGGGTGTGGGATGGACAGTGAGGCGGTTGTGGAGAGACAGCTTCTCCTGGATGAATGGCGGGGGGTGCGGGTGCAGTGGCAGGTGACATTTGATCGCCGCCTGCTCGACGACGTCGTTTTCCCCCAGCGGAATTCACGATGGCCCAGGCTTGGCGCGCGCGGAACCCTGGCACGCCCTGGAAAGCAGCTCCACCACCCTCAGCGCCCCACGGCCTCTCCTCGCTCCCCAATCCACCCCCGACACCTCGACATAGTCCATCGCTATGGCCTCCGACTCCGCAGCCCTGCTCGAGGGCCAGCTGCACGCTGCCACACACCCAGAGTCCGCCGACACCACACAGAAGCCGGCCGTGAAGCGATCATGGAGGTGAGGACGCGCCGAGTCAAAGGCGTCGCGATGACATTACTGACAGGAGCAGGCGCAAGTACCGCAAGATGCGCGCAAAGTTCGAGGACACAATGAACACGAGTAACACGCTGATCAAAGACGAGTACAAGGCCATCGCTCTGGCGCGCCGGCTGCAGGAGCAGAATGAGTAGGTCCCTAGTTGCCGCACCAGGTGTCGCCGCTCACTCGTTAATAGCCAGATCCTCGACGTGCTCCTGGACATGAATGAGGCCACGCGCCTGCCTGCGCACCTTAGATTCGATCTGCGCCATCTCTCCGAAAGCGACCCAGCTGTTTCCTCCCGTGAAGCTGACGCCGATCCCGATGCCGTCCAGCGGCGCATAGTCGACCTGCGAGAGGAATTGGTGGCCGGCCTCATCACGCCCGAGCAGTTCGCACAGAAAGTAGATCAGCTTCACGCCGCGCAGCCTGTGATACCCAAGCGCACACTTGCCAGCCTCGAGGCAAATACACCCTACTCAACGGAGGTCCCCGTTCCGGCGCCAGAAGGCATAATACTCGGTGAACATGCTCCCGGATACATGTCACCAGTCCACGAAGAAGAGTACCTTCTTGCAATCGATGCCGTTCTCGAAAACCCGGCGGCATACGACCCCAATGCCCACGACGGGCGACCGCTCCGCATCCCCCCAACCCACCCCATCCCAAATGACAAAGAGCTCTCGTTGCGGAACCCCGACAGCGTCTACAATTGGCTCAGGAAAAATCAACCACAAGTCTTCCTCCAAGACAAAGACCCACATCATCCCGAGAACCTGTCAGAGAAGTCATCAGCTCGGCCAGGGAATGTGCCTGGTCGAGGAGGCAAGCGTCCGTCCGCAGTTTCTACCAGCACACCTGGCCCGAAAACCGAACAGGATGCATTAGACGAGGAAATAGGCTTCATTCCCGAGACAGGTACAGGAAGCACAAAGCGCAGGCGAGGAGGCGACAAGGACGACGATCCTGCATACAGACCCAAGGGAGGCGCGAGTCGGCCAGCAAAGAGAAAGAGGGAAGATGGAGATCCTGTAGGGAAGGGGGGAAGGAAGAAGGCCAACAGGGCTAGCGGCGGAATCACCACGAACTGATCATGTTGATGGGAGAGAGGTAAGATGAGGTAAGCCTGTAAGATTTATCCCTTGGCATTGTTCAAATCTTTATACTGGGAGTATGGGTTCGACTGGGCTGGGGCTATATGGAGCCAAAGCGCTTGCGTCTTCACAGAGACGTTGGCATGGCTCAGTAGTGACAGAAATATGTACTATCACATAGGGATGGCACAGGCAGGCGCAGCATGGGTTAGATACCCCAAATCTTTTCATCAGGCCTGTGAGCACCCGTGGGCGCGATTGGATCTTATCACGTGAAGTGGCCATTGCCTTGAATGGCAGGCGCGTTCCATGTCCCGGATTTTTGAACTTGAATATTCCGACACCATCACCGTTTATCGTCTCTTTTCGCTCGCTATGACGTCTCATCTACTCTCTGGTGCCTCGACACCGCCCTGTCTAGTTACTTCCTCGATCTTTGGCGGTGCTCAACAAGCCAAGCTGACTAGTATTTCCGAGACTAGCTTTGGGATGCAGTGTGAGATTGTGTGTGAAAGGCCAGCAGCTAAGGTTATATTTGAAGGGATCAGCTTTGACCCAAAATCATTCAGGAGGGTCGATTCGATCCCTTGCAAACTTTCTCGAGCTACTCGTGGTCATGTTTAACAGAACGAGCAACTTACCCAGGGGGGTCACCTGGCCGTACAGTACTGCAGTACATCAAATTTAGTACTAGTTAGTAGGTAAAGAGGTTGTGGTCAGTACAGTAACCGTATGTGAGACCCTGTTACTAGCCGTTTATGGTAGTCTGTACAGATTTCGGGTAGAGTAGAGGCGCCCGCTCGGCCGCAGGAGGCGCAGATGGCGCAGAGGGCACAGAGGGAATAGAGGGCGCAGAGGCTTTAGGGTAGCCAGAAACTAATAGAGATTATGCAAATCTGGCATGTTTTGTTAGCAGTTTGCTAAGAAACTCCACAACACTCTTTATACGCCTCATAATGTTACTTAGTACGTTACCTGCTAGCCTTAAGCCTCTTGGCGCATTGCTAACTCTCAGGCCTCGGGCAGTCAATCTGCCTCTAAGAAGGCGCCTGTTCACTATCCTGTCGCATTTTACACACAATAATTAGGGCTATAGAGCTACAAAAGAACCACCCATGTAATAAAGTAGTAAGTAGCAAGTTAACTAAGCTAGCAGTGTACATTAAACGTAAGGAATGCAGCTTAAGAAGAGGACCAATTTACTTCTGGTCCCAATATTCCCTCTTAATTAGGTTAGATGCTCCGTAAACGGCCCGTTCTACTCTGTACAGTACAGAATACGATCTTCAATTCACCCGTTATGGAGTACTGCTAGTTGCCTCCCTCATCTACTCAGTACAGTTAGTAATTGCAAGCGGTTTGAACAGTACAGCACACCGTACAGCCTCAAAACTACTCCGCTAAGTACGGATGTCCACGCTGAATGCAATGGAAAATGGCTAATGAACATATAAGTTTACTACCCTTTGGTTACACGTTCGCTAGGGGCTGTTGCAAAGGCTGACCAGGCCGGTTCTGCCAGCGTTGACTGTCCAACAACCAAATGCAGGTACCCTGACTTCACCTCCCTGACAGTCTGCTCAAGATGCGAAGAAGAGACTGTTCGAATCACAGGCTTCAACTGTACAGGTTTCTGGTCTTACTCAGAAGGAAATACACCATGTTTTCACCAAAGGTGCAGCAGCTGCACTTAGTTTGAGCAAGCCCTGCCTAGCATATCGCTTGATTTTGAAGACAATTCCATTGTCATGAACCAGGGCGGATAAAGGCTTCCTGAAATTCTATATAGACATACTAGTGGGAAATTTTGAACTCCTCAAACGTCCGGGTTTATACCGGCACGGCAAAATAGAAGTGATAGGACGAATGGTTGCTTTTAAGTCGAACGGAGGATGAATGGTGGAATTCTTAACGACCAGCGAGGAGCCTTTGAAACTTGCAAATACAACCCTTTCTTCCTTCACGTGCTTCAACTTGACGACGGATTTCACCTTGCACAACTATGGCTGAGGAATCCATATAAACGACAGAAAGTTGCGCTACAGTCTTAGTCTTTTTGCTCCTAAGTATAAAAATAACATGCATCGCAATGGACGTATGGCGACTGGAAAAGTCGAAGATACTGCGCTCCTACTCCTTAACGAACTAGATAGAGGAAATGTGTGGCGCGAGAGTACGGATTAACTAGATTTAATACGCTCTAATGGGTGAAACCTTGGCCATTTCCTAATATCTAATTTGACTCGTTGGTACTTTGAAGAAGCTATTGGAGCAAGTTCCTGAAAGGGCCGAACGAAAATTACGGAGAGCCTTTCCGTTGCATCGCCGCCGCGATGTTTGATGTGATATAGAGTCCTCAGAATCTGAAGGTTACCAAGGTCTCCGTTACGGTATATTGGCCGGAGATCTTTCTTGAATTGAGTTGGACGTGGCTTTCTATCCCGTTCTCTATCGTGCTTCCCTCGATCGTGTTCCTCATATTTTCGATATTTGATAGGGGGAAGTGACCTTATTTGCACAAGACTTCAGCTCTACCTTCTCTCTTCGAGGGAAACGCATCACGATCTGATGCGAGTTCCTAAGACTAAGAGGGTCTATTGGGGAAAAGACGACGGAGGTTACGGCAGCCCCTAGCCTGCTAACCTGTGGAACCTCTATTATCGTCGATCCCCGAGAACTTTTCCTCTTGTCCATTGCATGTCCACATTGCTATAAACGTTGGAGTACCATATTTTATCTCTCTTTGCAGCATGAAACATTTGCTCGATACTGACGCGCAATACTACCTTCAACCATCACTAAAATATCACATGCAATCAATCTCCGAAACCAGCTTATTTGCTCCCAAACTTATTTGCAACCTTGTTCGTATCTCCTTACTGCCGAAGGTTAGCTCTAATTTAACTATCCACCTAGCTGCTGATGTTATCATATCATCCCTTCGTTCATGTAATCATAAATTACTGCACTTAAAATGCAGCTCTTGTTACGCCCAAAGACGCGATTTTCGAGGGGCGGCAACGACGGGCTACGGGGCAGAACAGAGCAGGCATAATGCCCGTGATGACGTCACCCTGTTTACCGTTTCGTGGTTGAAGGGAAGTGTCTATACACATACATATTCGAGTCGTTTCAGAGATTCCTCGCATGCTTGTAGGGATTGTGGGTTGGTGTTTGGAACGTTAAGATTTCAGGAGAATGAGGAAATTTGAGTTGCGTGGAAGTCTGAGCGAGGATTGCTCCTGGTTTCACGCAAAGAAGGCTGCATTATGTATTCCGTGGATGTGTGTGAAGCATTTGCACAATAAGTTTACCGCTAGCCTAAGTTAGAAGGCGATCCGGGAACTAGTCAATTGCAGAGTAAGCGCTAAGCTGTGAAGTCACGTTGCGCGTCTAGATTAGCTTCAACCAACATCTCTATTCACTTCGCGAACCCAGGCCTTACATTCAGCTCCTTGCACTACTATGCTGAATTTTGACTCTGTTCTATCTTAAGTTTGCGAAGAAATACAATACATCCCCTAAAGACTGGTCCTAGCATCTGGACATGTCCGAAAACTCGACTCAATGTGGAGCCATAAAATCGACCTGAAATGATTCTAATATGTTGCACTAACCTTCGAATAAAAGCCAGAGAGCTGGCGGTAAGTTGGCCAAATTACCCTCCGTGTATTCAGTCTGTCCATCCAGGTTGTCTGTATGCACTCTTCGCCGCCACCACCCGTCCCACGGCCTCCATGCTCGCCCCCCCCATGATCTCAAACACGGCCACATCTGCCTTGACCTCTTTGGCGAACCAGCTTCGCAGCTCTACGGAAAGCAGCGAATCTACTCCATATGCATGCAATGGTTTACTCGTCTCGATGTCCTCTACTCCAATTGACAGCGCCTTAGACAGCTTGCGGCTCAGGCCATCGACTACCAGCTCACCCGCCTCAGCTAGGGACGTGGCAATGGCAAAAGCAGCGGCATAATCGATCGAATTCTGAGCGTTGGTGCTAGAGGCTGTGTGCGTATCATCAAGGCCCATGTGATGCATGTACCGGAACATGGGACGGTACAGTAGGGCAGGTACGTCCGTTCCTTTGGCCCGTAAGCTGGCTGGAGTCGCGAGGCCGACCATGGTCTGGCAGGCGAGTGGCATTGCAATAGGCAAGCTTGGATTGCAGTAATGATCTAGCACAGCCACGAACTCCGGTGTTGCGATGGGCATCATGATTCCGGACGCCGCAAAGGCTTTGGTGAGAAACTCGCTTTCGGCGATAATTCCCTCGTCTTGCATCCAGCCTAAATCGATGGAGACGGCTTTTTGGCCGCGACTAACACGATGCCTTGCCAACGCATCGAGATAGGTGCTTCCGGCGGCGTAATTGGCTTGCGCCCCTGAGCCGTGGATCCCAACGAGAGAAGAGAGCATGATGAAGAAGTCGAGGTTGGGCAGGAGGCGATGAAGGTTCCAGGATCCCTGGACCTTGGGCTTGATAGCGAGGTCCCAGTCTGGGAATGTCATTTTTTCGAAAATGATATCCTGCGACTCTGTAAGCATAACCATCTCTCAAAAACATCTTGTAGGAGGACTCTACTGACCTTGAGAACCATTGCGCCCTGAATACAACCCTTGACTGGAGGCATAGTCTTCTTGCACTCGTTTAGTACGGCCTCCAGTCGACCGAAGTTTGTAACGTCGCACGCGGGAGCTTCAACACGAACGCCTTGAGATTGAAGCTCTTCTACTAGAGCAGCTGCTTGCTCGGAACGAGCTCCGGAACGAGACAATAGTAGCAGATTCTTTGCTCCGCGGCGCGCCATCCATCGAGCACTAGCACGGGCAACTCCCCCGAAGCCACCAGCAATGAGATAAGTCGCATCTTTCTCGAAGTAATAGCTCGGTTTTGTGTCAAGGACAGTCTGAGATGTCAGTAGACATTCTTTTCCTTTGGGATAGATTTCTGGGTATACTCACTAATACTTTATCCTCCTTCCTCATCTCAATGACGATCTTGCCGATATTCTTTCCGCTCTGCATGTAGCGGAAAGCATCCTCAATATCAGAGACAGAATAGGTATGGAGCGGCTGCGAGACTTGCACTTTCTTTTGTTCTGTTAATTTCAATACTGCTTCCAACGACTTTCGCACGAATGCTGGGCGCTCCTTGGAGATGCTGACGAGGTCGACCGCGCTGAAAGAGACATTCCGAGCGAACTGCTTCATGGGCAGACTCGAGTGACCGTGAATATCTCGTTTTCCAATTTCAACAAAACGACCAAAGCTTGCCATGCATTCCCAGGTCGCAACGAGTGACTTCCCAGCTAAAGAGTTCAGCACGACGTCGACCCCATGGCCGTTTGTCACACGCATGATTCCTTGCGCAAACGTCGTGTTTCTGCTGTAGAAGATGTGGTCTTCCTGGATCCCATAGTGGTCGATGAGCAGCTTTTTCTTCCTTTCGGAACTGACTGTTACGAACACTTCAGCGCCGATATGTTGCGCGATCTGAACGGCCGCCTGGCCAGTTCCACCGGCAGCTGCGTGGATCAACACAGACTCCCCTTTTTGCAGACGAGCTACCTCCACTAAGGAATGATAGGCGGTGATGGCACAGCAGGGTAAACCAGCTGCTGCTGCAAAGGAGAGACCGTCTGGAATCTTCATAACTAGCTGGACATTTGTGCGTGCGTACGACTTGAAACAGTCGAAGACCACTCCACAGACACGATCACCGGGCTTTAGATCTGCGGTCTCGCTACCGACCCGGGTGACGATTCCGGCGCATTCGGCGCCGATGATGGTCTGATTGATTCGTCCTAAGGCCGTAAGGCAATCCATGAAATTGACACCAGTCGCCGTGACCTCGATTTCAACCTCATCGCTTGCCAATGGAATTTTCACTGCCTTATCTTCGAGGAAGCGGAGGGAATCCAAGAGACCAGGCGTTTCGAAATTCAAGGCCAAAGCGGGTCCAGCACCGAAGGGCAGCATTTCAGTCTTCTGTGTGGCAGTTGTGTTCTGGATCTCAAGGTTCATGTGGTTCGCTTCTACGATTCTGTTCGCACAAAGCATGCCGTTCTCTTCAATATACTCAGTCTCGAAGTCGTTAATGGATGTAAAGAGTGTTTTCTTGACTACTTTCATAATGTGCTTGAGATGGGATTCTTCTGGTCGTGTTGATTCCAGGCTCAATGTCACCGCCTTTAACAGGCCGTTTTCTGTTCGAAGGGTCCTTAGCAAGCCTTGCGCGATGTGGAAGTCAGGTTGCTCCATAGAGGCACCACCACCGTTATTGGCCCAAACGATGCCCTTGGCCCTGGACAGCACCGATCGGTATGCATTGAAGGTGTCTTCGTCTAGGTTGTGAAGAAGGGGGACGTGCAGCTCCGTCAGGAAGATACAGAATCTTTCGGCAAGATCATCCATTTGGGCCGCTCGCGCAAGCATGACAACTTCACACTTTGGACTACCCAGAGATTTCAATGAGTCTTGGAGCTGTAGCGCAAGACTCTGCTCCATCAGGGGACCATCCTTGACAACGATCAGTGTCTTTGGTATCGCCACTGACTCTGGCTGCTGCTCTAACGATGTCGAGACCATGATACTCAGCTCCTGGCATGTCGGGTCGCGGTAATCGGAAAGCACGAGATCAACGCCAGAGAAACCGTTTCGGCCAAGGACGCGATCCCATTTCTGTGGCGTCATGGTCGGACCCCACTCCCGGTAATCGTCGGTACTTAGCCACCATCCGGGAAGGAGGCCGAAAGAGAATCCGGATCGTCCAAAATCCCCGGTTCCTTCCAGGAGGACTAGCTTGCCGCCAGGCTTGAGAAGCGCATGGACGTTCTTTAACGTCACGTCCATATGCTTCGTGGCATGGAGAACATTGGCGGCAACGATCAAGTCATACGTTCCCTTCTCATAGCCCTGCTTCGAGACGTCGCATTCGATGTCGAGGACCTTGTACTGCATTTTCGAACTGTACTCTTTGAAGTCTTCCTTTGCACCCTCGAAGAAGGCAGGGGAGATATCGGTAAAGTCAAATTGGGAACACCGGGGTGTAGACGATTTATCGTCTCCATACATCATGAGGGGCTTGATGATGTATGCGGTTGTGCCGCCCGTTCCTGCTCCAATCTCCAACGCTTTCAGACCCGGGGTTTTGTGCGCTAAAAGATCCATGAGCTTGATAAATTGTCCCGAGAGCCGAGCATTGATCTCAAGATAGTAGTTCTTGGCTAGATCACCTTGGAAAAGAAGGTTCAGGGGATCGACCTCGCCCTTGAGAATCTGGACCAAGTGTCGAGCCACTTCGGTGTAGAACTTTCCTTCGCTGCTCGAAGTTTCTAGAAATTTGTGGAGTCTCTCAAGATGCATAGGGTCGTCCAAGCGGGACGACCACTCCGGCCGTGCATGAAGCAGTGTGCCAGCTTCGTACTTCTCCACTTGACGTTCCATCCAGCGGACATACTGCTGTCTTGATCCATCGATCTCGGCGTTTCCAAGGACTTGAAGAGTCTTCTTGATGGAGGCAAACAAGAAGAAGGCCAAGTCTTGGTAGTAGTCTCGGGGCTCTTCTGCAGGCCAACAGTCCTCGAAGTAGAGATCTGCCTGCTTTTGTTCCAGGAAGTCAACATCTGGTTTCCAATCCATGTTGTAGCATAACTGCCTCATCGAGGACTGCCCCTCCGTATCAGTCTCGCCCTGGGAGATGTTGGTGGTTTCGAGGACGTCCACTGAAGCTAGGACCTTACGTGTTGTTTTGTCTACTGCAAACATCGCAGACTCAGTCTGACGATAGCCCTTTGAAACGGGATGGGATGAAGCACAAATTGAAGTTGAGTCGGCGCAAGAGAGCCCCGACGCCGACAACCAAAGGTTGGTGATGCGGGTTGGCACCGTTGTCGGAATAGCCTCTTTGCCTCCTTGAGTCAACCCTACCAAGCAAAGCTGAATTAAGGCATCGAGAGTGGTCGGGTGGACGACGTGGGGCTGAGGGTAGTTGGCATGATCTTGCTCTTTCCACTGAAAGACAGCAATATCAGCTATAGTTTCGCTCTGGGCATTACAAGAGACATTGCTGAGCGTTCTGAAAGAAGGGCCAAAACTGAGGCCCATCGCCTTGAGATGCTCGTAGAGAGTTTCCGAATCAACAGTGTCGGCGCAACGCTCCTGCCGAGTTTCGTACAGTTTCTCGAAGCGATGTAAGTTCTCTTGCGCTTCCTTTCCAACATCTACCTCGGTAATGGTATCCTCAAGCTCGAGCTGGACTGTTCCTCGGCAGTTCTCAGACCAGGTGTCATCCTCGAAGGTGCAGATTCGAAACTCAGACAGTGCTGCATCTTTATCATAGGCGTCTTGGACTGGCCGAATGTAAATCTGAACGTCGGCTCCTTCTTGGTTGGAAGGAATATTCAAGGTCTTCTGGAATGTTGCGTTCTTAATCCGGTAGCCGACAATTTTCTTGGAGGGATCGGCTAACTGACGAGCACCTTCTATAGCCATGACAAGCATACCCGCCGCTGGATATATCACGTTGCCATTGACCTGATGGTCCTCGACCCAAGGAACTTGGGAGATTTTAATGACGTTACGCCATCTGGCTTCTAATGGATTCCAATCAGAAACCCGAGTTCCGATAAGGTCATGACGAGGATGCGTTCGTAGCCTGAACTCCTTGCTCAGCCGACTCTCATGCCAGTAATTCTGAGAGTGGTCGAAGGGATACTCTGGAAGATCTGGCAGAGCCATGAACCGGTTGGTGATCTTCATTCTGGCCTCGTTGACATTGGCAACTTCGACGGGGTATCCAAGGCAGTAAAGTTTTCCGATAGCGGTTAGCGTGGTCTCTAAAGCAGGCACATTTCGCGTTAGGGCCGAACAGTAGCTAACCTCATTGGCCCTCGAGGTGATCTTCAGAATGTCTTTGGCGGGTCCTTGGAGAGCGGAATGAGGGCCAAGCTCAAGGAGGTCGGAGACCACGACTGTGCTTCTAGATGCCGCGCCCAATTTTTTCTTCCCTGATTTGTCGGAACTCGATGCCAATTGCCCGAGTGCCTCAGAAAATCGAACTGGGGAGGTAAGATTTCTGACCCAGTATTCTCCTCGACTGAGTTCACTGGCGGAGGTCAACCTCCCAGTCACGGATGATACCATGGTTTGGGTTCCTTTGAGAGGTGTGCCAGGCTCCAAATGCTCTATTGCTTCGAGATACTCACCAGCGATCCGTTCCATATGCTGTGAGTGATATGCAACGTCGACTAGCAATTTGCGGGCAAACACTGAGTCGGCATCGAGGAGTAGCTTGAGGGCATCGACTTGATCCTGATCTCCAGATACGGTTACACTCTTTGGACTGTTGACACATGCAACTACAATCCCAGTGTGTCGGAACTCGAGCGCAACTTTCTGGATATAGGGTCGGACATCAAGCTCTGAGAGCCCGACCGCGATCATCGCTCCAGATACAACTCCAGATTTGGCCATGGTCGCGGAGAGTTTACCCCTAAAGTATGCTACTTTGCAGGCGGAACGAAGTGAAAGAGCCCCCATACAGTATGCGGCGGCAATTTCACCTGACGAATGGCCGACCACTGCCGCAGGAGTGATATTGAAACTTCGGAGGAGTTCAATAAGCGCAATTTGCAAAGCTGTGCAAAGCGGCTGGCTGAACTCGGGTCGATTCACGTTGGATATCGATTTGTCCTTGTGCATTTCCTCTATGAGAGACCATGGACAGCCCATATCCTCAAGATACATCTCTGCCATTTGAAGAGTCGTCTTATAGACTGGATACGCCATCAGATCTCGGCCCATTCCAGCGTATTGTGCCCCTTGTCCAGTGAATATATATGCGAGACCTAGGTTTTGCTTGGAGCGAACGGCTTTCGACAATCGGAGTCCACCTTGCAGTTGGCCAATACTAGTAGAGATTGCGAAAGATTTCCAAGGGAAGGCACTCCGCCGGACAGCTAAAGTGTAAGCAAGACTACTGAAGTACTCTTGCTCCTCGCCCGCTTTGATCGATAAGCTCTTGAAGTACTCGCTGTAAGTTTTCTCTAGTCGACTTAGGCCGCCCTCGTCGGCTGCTGACCAGACAAGAAGCCTTGGTCTTGCATCCTCTATAGGGATTCCGTTGGTCCCACTGAGAGAAACAGGGGGTATGACAGCATTGCTTAGCTCTTCTATTGAAGGAGGCAATTCCCGTGTGTGGTGGAAGCCCCGAAGTCCTCGGAGCCTAAGGAAGTTATATGCGTCGTCGATGACTGCATGTGAGTTCGAACCACCAAAGCCGAACGAGTTAACGGACGCTCGACGTAAGCCATTTTCAGGCCACGGAACACATTTCAGAGGGAACTAAGAGAGCCGTCAGAAATGGTCAACTCGATTAGGGTGCTGCAGGGCTTACGCGAATATTAAGCGCGGGAGCATCGATCTTTGGGTTTGGCTTTTCAAAGTTTGTGTTTGGGGGAATTACTCCCTTCTCGAGGCAGATGATCGTCTTGATCAGTCCTGCAATTCCACTAGCTCCTTCGAGATGGCCTATGTTTGATTTTACTGCACCGCTACACTGCTAGTTAGCCTTGCGTCAAAAATTGCTCGGGTCACTGTTGTATACGTACATGTACAAAGGATCTTCCGGACTGCGGTACTTGGAAAATGCAGCTCCGATAGCACCAACTTCAATAGGATCTCCGATGGCCGTCCCTGTCCCGTGTGCCTCGAAGAAACGAGTGACACCCAGGTCCAGGCCAGCCTTTTCATAACATTCGCGAATCAAAATTTCCTGTGCTTGTGCACTTGGTTGAGTAATCCCAGGGGTTCTGCCATCCGAATTCGAACCTGTTGATCGAATGACTCCTCTGATTGTATCACCGTCCCGGAGTGCATCAGATAGACGCTTGATGACGACCACACCACACCCTTCTCCTCGAGCGTACCCGTTAGCGCGAGAGTCGAAACTCCAACATCGGCTGTCTGGAGAAAGGAAACCCATATTGCCAAGGAAAAGGTACGGCTCGAGGCCTAAGATGTTACTTGCTCCAGCAACGAGCGCCTGGACTTGCCGTTAGCCTACCGTCTAAAGCATCTTCTACAGGACAAAGGATGGTATACCATATCTGCATCGCCATTCCGCAGACCCTGGCATGCCATATCAAGCGCCATCATACTACTAGAGCAGGCAGAGTCGAGGTGAATGCTTGGCCCAGTAAGGTTGAAGAACCATGATAACCTATTCGCAAGGATGCTTATGGCTACACCCGTGGCGGCATATTTAGGAAGGGTATCATTGTCCTTAAAGACCATCTGGCGATAGTCGTCTGTAAAACTGCCAGTATGGACCGATGTCTTTGAGCCATTGGCCTTCTCTAGTGGAATACCAGCTAAACGCAGTTAGTTATGACTATCGAGCGAGCAATAACTACAAACCATTTTCGAGAGCACGATACGCAGTCTCAAGCAGTGTCCGCTGCTGGACATCCATGGCGGCGGCCTCAGCCGAAGTAATGGAGAAGAATGGGGCATCGAAGAGCCCCAGGCTCTCTTTGAGGAAATGCCCTCCTCGAGGGTATATCTAGGACTGACTTAGCACGCATGCTCCTTCTTGCTAATATTTATTGAAGGGCTCTCACAGTATCATCTCGTGTCTTGTCTGGGCTATAGAATGCATCGATGTTGATTCTGTCTTTGGGGATCTCAGTCATAGCACATCTTTTCTCCACAAGCATTTGCCAGAATGCTTCTGGGGAGGTTGCCTCCTCGGGAAATTTTAGAGAGAAGCCAATAACAGCAAGGGGTTCTAGCAAATCATCCTCGGCCGAGGAGTAAGTGCTTCGGGCGATGGCATTCGGCGACTTGGCTGCAAAGTATTCGGGGGGCGACCTCGAACGGCTCCGGTCGACATGATGGTATAGAAGGCCGGGTGCCATGGCAATTAACAAGGAGAAGTTGAAGTCTAATTGGTCTATCGGTCTAGTAACACGTATTGAGCAACGCGAAATGGTTGTAAGGATCAATTGCACAAAGGTTGCGTCGGATTGCGTGCTCGCAGTTTGGGGAATCTGGGCAAGCTTAAGTAGAGAATAGGCGCCTGCTTCCAAATCACTCCCTCTCTACTCCAGTTCTTCCCTCCATCATCATCTCCCGGAATTGAGCTTGCTCCGAACTTGCCGCGTCCATCTTCCTCCTTTCGGAACGCCTTTGATTATGGGCCCAGCGTCACCGTGGGCTGGGCTGGATCCTGCGAAATCGACACATTCTTCCCCGACTGGCTTAGTATCTTGATAATACATCGGACGAAGCCCTTCGAAGCCGACGACAGGCATGGACCAACACTGCACAAAAGAGTCTAACCGAGTGGCTGACGTTACCGCGGGATGGGCTTGGATCCTACGAGGTCAACACGTTTTCTCCCACCTGAATAGTATTTTGATATTACATTGGATGGTGTTTCTCGGATCTGAAGCGAAGCATGGGCCAACACTGTCTCACAAAGCGGTGGATGGTTGTGAATGCTAAGAGCTAGCCCAGCACGCGACGCCAAGCTAGATACCAGGGCTGACTCCAGGGATGGAGTTGTCGGGTTTGTGGATGCACGAATCGACAAGGGTGCAATAAAGTAGTTTAGAGAATTTCGTGGAACACCAACACAGCAGGATTCGGACATGCAAGCATCGGAACCCCGGCTACTAATATGCAAGGTTAATATATTATAAAGTGGCTGGCAGCACTTTGTGCAACGCCAACAACAGAAGGATTCGTATCTGCAGCAGGAGATTCGCGGCTGCATTGCGCAAACGCCGGTCCCTTCTAAACAACGCTCAAACTCAACCAATCTTCCCGTGCACGACCTCGGACAGGCTGATGAAGCCCGGCCGAACTTATTCCTCTAACGGTCAGCTCGGTTCGGCCGAGGAGTGCTGGTACAATTTCTCGAATTTCCTCAGCATCACATTGGAGCCTTGCACAGCTCTGCGTTTTGAATTTCTCGCCTATCTCCCTATTGACCCTCGCAGCAATGGCCCAAGCCACACTCCGCATTGAGCGCACAAGCATGGAAATTATGGGGGCCGCTCCGTACTCTTTCTCCTTGGAAGATTCAGTACACGAGAAGGAAGGAAGTGTGAAGCTCGAGGAAGGACAGAGTCCACCATCCTCGGACTCTGATATCGCAGATGAGTCGACGCCCACGGAACAACCGAATGCTCATCGCTACGTTACGGGCTGGCGCCTGTTCTGTCTCTTGTTTGGGTGGGTTAGCCATTGAACTCACCTACACATTCGTGCTGACATTCCACCCTTTCAAGTGTATCGCTCGCCATCTTCCTAGCCAACCTCGAAGTAACCATCGTTAGCACATCCTTGATTTCCATTACCAACGACTTGAATGGCTTCAGTCGGACTGGGTGGGTGGTGGTTGCCTATCTCATTACCTATACTGGTATGTATGCGGGAAGGAATCACAAGTCGATGGTCATCTGACATTTTCTCAGGCTTCATCATCGTCTGGGCCAAACTAAGTGATATACTGGGCCGTAAAGTCTCTATCAATGCAGCGCTGTTGATCTTTGTTGTGACTTCGGCACTATGTGGTTCAGCGCAGAGCATGACCGCTCTGTCAGTGAAGACCCCGTTCTCTCTCCCGCCTACTGGCTTATCGTAAACCAGCATCGTTTTCCGTTCGCTCCAGGGTATTGGCGCTGCTGGCTGTTTCTCAGTCTCCATGGTCATCTTCTTCGAAATGATTCCGAAAGAGAAGTACGCAAAATATGGCAGCATTCTTTCCGCTGATGTGGCCTTGGCAACTGCCCTCGGTCCCATATTCGGTGGATTGATTGTAGACGGCACCACTTGGCGATGGGTTTTCTTGCTAAAGTATGTCTTATAACTCCTAAAACCCCACAGAACGTCTTCAGTCATCTAATGAGAACGGCAGTGTTCCTGGAGGCTTGCTAGCAACAGCTATTCTCGTCTTTCTGATCCCTTCAGGCTTCCCTCACCACTGGAAACCGAAATCTGAACAGTCTAAGGCACGCATTTTCTCTATGGAATGCGTGGAGCGAGTCGATTTTCTCGGATCGCTGCTTCTAATCGGAGCAAACCTGCTTCTTGTGACTGCCTTGCTAGAAGCCTCTACAACATACTCTTGGTCTTCTGGAGTCACAATTGCACTGATTGTGCTCTCGGCAGTACTTTGGGTTCTATTTGCAGGCTGGGAGTGGTTCGCTACAAAGGATACAGTTAAACAGGAGCCTGTTTTCCCTTTCCGTTTCTTCTTCAACCGCGCATGGATGGGCATGCTAATGTTTGTCCCTTCCTCCACCGTCTAAGGGTTTCAACTAACCTAGAGCCTAGAAACTCGGTTCTGCTTGGCGTACCATTTACTGTCATTGTAGTTGATCTTCCGCAGCGATTCCAGGCTATCAACGGCGTTTCTGCTCTTAACGCAGGAGTTCGTCTGCTACCATACGCCCTCTTCGCGCCTCTCGGATCTCTCCTGTCGAACATAATTTTCGCCAAGAAGAGACTTCCACTGACACTCCTTCTAGCCGGCGCAACCTTCCAGTTCCTTGGGCTCATTCTGCTGGCTACCCTGCCCGAGAAACCTGATCTCCCTAATTCTCTATATGGATTTTTGGTCATCGCCGGTCTTGGCGTAGGCCTAACTTTCGGGACTCTAGTAGTCATCACTCCAGAATCAGTAGAACCTCGCGATCTAGCTACAGCGACGGGTGCTATGATCCAGTCGCGCCAAATGGGTAGTGCAATTGGCATGACCATCGGTTCCAGCATCCTCAACAGCTACCTCAAGTCAAATCTACGCCATGTTCTAAGCGCGTCACAGCTGGAGGCTCTGTTGCAGACAACTGCAGTTGTGAAAACCTTTCCAGCTGAGCTTCAGTTGCCGGTCAAGCAGACATTTGCAGAAGGTTATAGTCTGCAGATGAAAGTCGTTGCCGGAATTGCCGCAGCAGAATTTCTGGCGGTAGCCATGATGGTCAAATTGAAGCATAGAAAGTAGTCAGAAGAATTAGTTACGATACATTGGGCTCTGCAGAAATGGGCGGATATTTTGGTCCCGATTTCCTAGGAAAAGGATAGGCCAGGAATAATCTCCATCTATTTCTTGAGGGAAAAAAAGATCTGTTCTATATTTAAGAAGAGCTTACGAATTATCCTGTGTTACGATCTATTTTTCAACTCTACGTTGCGCCTTAACGAGTGATAATTTTCAACACTCTACTCATGGTTTTGCATTTCCAAGATTGTTACAGTTTGCAAAGCACGGGTGCTAAGATAGATATCATTATTTTCTGAAACTCAAAACTTTCGTAGAAGATAAAATTCTAAAGGTTGATTCAATACATGTTTGCACTCGGAAGTGCCGACACCCTTGGCGCAGCTTGAGCTACTGTGCCACGTTTCTTTTTTGGGCCTCGGCCCTTGCGATCATATCCTTAAACGCTACCACAACGCGATCCAAGACTTCCTTAGAACGGGGGCCTCCCCCAGGCACAGAATGCCCCTCACTATGAATCACCTCCTCTCGTAACTGCGGGTCACACAAATTTAAGAGCCGCCGAGCCTGACCGGGGGCGCATGCATCCTCTTCATCCCAAACGTGCACTGTTGGGAAGTCAATTAGGCATCCAGAATCCCTCTCCTGCCCTTCTTGGTGTTCAAGATGATGTTCGAGCTTATCATTCATGAAGCCGCTCAGCACCTCACCGCCTTTCCCGTAATGGCGCACGACCCCATGGCTTAAAGCGCTTGGGTCAAGAGGTGCTCCTGCGGAGAAGAATAGAGCGCATTTGAAAACGGGGTCCAGATCTGGCTCCTGCAGCTTTGTCTGCAGCAAAAGCGTGGATGCGAGACAGGATCCGTGCGAAAAGCCAATGACGCCATCAAAAGGCCCCTCAGATGCAATGTACTCGGCAAGATCATCGAGAGCAGCACGAGCGCTGGCTGCGCTGAAAGGATCGAAGAAGGCATAGCAAGCGGCAGCCCCAGGTGAGACGAACGCTCGGATCTCTGTGAAGAAGCTGATTAGTATTCAAGAGCTGAACCCAAAATAGTAGGATTACGGAGCACGGAACCGAAATACGTTGAAACGAAGAATGGGAGGTCGGGGACTTAGAGGTTTGATGTTTTGTCGGCGGTGCGCTCGGAGATCGTTTGGGACGTTGACAGTGACACGGGAATGCGCCGGGAGCTGCAGCGCGAGGGAAGAGCCGTTCCTTCGGCCAAGGACCCGCAAGGTTTCATGGCGTCCTTGGCGTGGAGAAGATTTGATCGCAGGGAACTCCCGGGTGGCGAGTACGGGGATTTCGTCCTTATTACTCCTTGAAAACACGGAATGACGAACGCGGCGCCAATCGCATGCAAGATGAACCATGGACAAACAACCAGGTAGCGGGAAAAGTCTAACTTGTCTCACCTTCTGCCATAGGCCAAGGCACCTGTCCTTCGACAAAATCATAAGTGTGGTCATCACCGAGGGCGTAGCGAAGCGTGGCTAGTAATCAAATAAGATCCCTGGTCAGCAAAAGAAACTCTGGTTATCGGTTGAGAAATTCGACACATACTCAATTGCATTTCAAGAACCTGTATTGAACCAAGTTAGTCCGATCCATGGCCGCCTGGCATAAAGACACCCCTGTATACGGACCTGACTGTTTGTGCCGATGCCATGCAGACAAAGGAAATGCATCGTGGCTGTACTCGTTGTACGCTTCACGGTACTGGTTATTCGCGTGGTTGTGCCGGGAGGCTGCTTTCCTTTTATGCCGTAATGGACCGATATGCCGGTCACCGTGCTCCTGTTGTGGCACCTCTCTTAAGTCGTGGCCTTCCAGTTAGATCAGGATGGTTGGGCTGCCTCTGGCGGTGGACCGTCAGCCGTATCTTGCAGGCTCCCAACGTGCGTCGTAAATCGCCGTAAGGCCACCGAGGATATCTTGTGCCAAGCCCATTCATGAGTAACAACGGCATTTAGCCGTATATTGGCCGGCTGAAGATTCAGCATTACGATCGGAGTTCGGACGAACACGAGGGAGGCTAGTTCTTGGCGACGTTATCTCGCGGGGAAAGATTAGATGGTCCGTATTTCGTAACACTGTCTTAGCGGAGTTGGCATTTGCAGAATCTGCCTTAGCTTATCGAGCTTTTCGAGGGACACGCTGAAGACCGAGGTTCTGGTTTCCCTAATGCAGTAGTGCTTAATCTCAGCAAATAAGCAACTCAGGGTCCCTTACGTGGATCCTAGACCGCTCTGGGTGGCGGGATAACGTCTACTAGCGCGGCCCTGAGACCATCGCACGGGGCCGAACACGCGAACTAATGCAGCCACCACGGCAGCCTTCCTAGCGAACGCATGGGTCACTTGTCCTCGAATTGACCACGGCCTCAACATAGGCCCCAAACCTCTCTAATGCAGCCATTTTCTGTATTGCTAGCTTCAGATCGAAACTGTACGATTAATTAATACTATGATCAACCTTGACCAACCACAGTGTTCTAGAGCAATTGTCAACACACCCATTGCGAACGTAAAGCCCCCCGAAAACAGATTGCTCATCACGGGCTCCGATAAATGCGAAGGATTACGAGACTTTTCTGTCCTGAATTAGCCTTTCTTTACGAGACTGTCAGCAACCCGCCTATACGACTCATGTTGCAGCCTAGAACGATCGGCAAGAGAAGCGATTAGATTAAAATCGAGGAATAGGAAAGACCCGAATTGACCGTACGGGTCCCTACAAGCAGCAACAGGTCGTCGCTAACTGCTTCACCTTCGTCAAACCCTCAATCCCAGTCACCCCCTACTTGCTCAGCCCTCTTCTTTCTCTAGCACGCCAAAGAAACTTTCATCCGTTCTAGCGCGTTCTTCATCACCACCTCTGGAACCGCGAACGTAATTCTTACCCACCCTATCTCCGTCTCCGCCACGTTATACTTTCGCCCGGCTGAAACAATGACCCCACTCGCCCTCAGCTTGCTCACTACCTCCTCTTCCTCATCCCAAGTCTTTGCCATGGGGGCTATTTTGGCGAAAAGGAAGAGCCCTGCGTTTGCAGGTATGAACTTGATTCCCCAATCCGCCAGCGCAGCTGTGAGCACGTTGTACGAAGCGAGCAGGCGGCGGCGGTTCAGCTCTAGAATATTTGGGAGCTGGGAGCTTGATGCGAGGAGATAGGTCAGGAAGACGGAAGCCAAGGACGAGACTTGGAACCAAGAGCCAAGGCCGAGTGCAAGGCAAAGACCACGATTGGCTTGCGAGATAACACAGCCCTGTTATTAATCCCGATTAGCACGAGCTTTGCGTCCTAAAAAGTGAATGCTGAGAGTTTAGTGAACCTACCAGTCGGATGCCACTGGATCCAAAGTCTTTGCTCGCGCCCCATACCACATGAACACGACTTCGGTCAAGCAATGTCACTTCGGAACTATTTTGAACGCTGAGTGCAGAGTTGCCACCGCCGTTATCGGCAGTTCCGTCAGGCTTTGGCAGGAGCGCAAGAGCCGAGACAAATTTCTCACCCGTAGTACACAGATCGTCAAACTCGGAAAGTCCGTAGACTTCGTCTGAGATATAGTGCAAACTGTGTTCGTGACAAAAGTCCATTATCTGTCGGAGAACTTGAGGGGGATAGCATTGACCAAGAGGGTTGTGAGGATTGGTAATCACGACTGCTTTGATACGCGATGGATCTGAGGCTTGCAGATACGTCTCCTTGATAGCGTCGACAACGGCGGGTGTCATCGTCATACTGAGCTGAGGTGTACTGGCTACAAGGATGTCGACATTGGCGTGAATTTTGAAGTACGGTCCGAAGCCCTCCCAAAAAGGCCCTGGGACAATGACACTATCTCCATCATCGCAAACGGCATACAACAAGGCATCAAGACCACTACCAGCTCCGGCAGTGGTGATGATATGCCCTGGCTCGATGGGCACCGAAGGGTGGAAGTGTGCTGTGAAAAACTCGGCAAGGGCCTTGAGCAGCGCCGGTTCGCCCCCGAAGCCGCGTGGATAGGAGAAGCCCTAAAGAGCCGTTAAATACTAGGACTTAGATGGATAGAGAGAGGCCCTCATACTGCCTCGGTCATCTGCTGATCGATCGCTTCCTTGCAAATCTGCAACATTTCCTCATGAAGAAGTTTGTTCTCCGCGACAGAAAGGTCAATGGTGTCAGACGCATCAGGAGTCGAGCCTCCAGTTCTGCCAGCGAGCTTTGGGAGTATTTCATTAAGTCTTGATCCCATACGGGTAGAGAGGCTCGAAAAATCTGCCATCCCAAAGACTTCGTTTCGTGAGAATCGATGATAGAAATGGTCCACGAAAAGCGCTAAGAATGGTAAACAGTGAATCTGGCTTAGAGACTGCAATGAGTTTTAACGATTTAGTGAGCCGCCTTCACTTTTGGGAATATTGGCAGCAGTTTCAGCACAGTGGTTATCTCCACGCAAAAAAAAAGAAGATGGATCAAATACAGTTAGCTAGGAGGCGGACCTCGAAAATTAGAGCAGACTGAGTCGGAGACTCGGTGCTGTATGGTACCGCGTCAGCAATTGCTAGGTACAAATCCGCTGTTAGACACCGGGTGTTCAATGTCAACCAAAAGCATACATCTATGAGAAGCCAGAACATGGGTGCAAGACAGGAGATGGTTGCACTTACCTGCGGCTCAAGCCAGGCTGAGCAGAAGCTCGGTTATTGTCCAAACCCGTATTCCAACTCCGTTAGGTCGGAGATGGCGATGCATGTTGATTAAGGTTGCAGCTGGGTCTGCGTACGCCGAGACCGGAAGGAAAGGATAACCCACCAGTTCCCTTCGTCTCTTCCATTCTTTCCATACTATCCTCGTACGTCGTTCACCGGACTTTGGCTAATGCCAAGCATGATACGGACGCGTCAACATCAGAGTTTTGTCAAGACCACGGGCTGGAATCAGACCACATAGGAAGTTCCAGGTTGTAAGGCGTCCGTTTGTTTCCTTACCCCGGTATCACAACCATCTTCCTAATTAGGCCGCTGTACGAGAGAGGTGAAACAGGCTTGGCATTCCATGGATAGCCAGCCATGTGGATAGGGATACTGGTAGGACAGACTCCTCCCCTTGTGGAGTGCCGGACGCACGTGGTCGAAGCAGGTATTTCCTAATAAAACGGGGACACGGAATCGGTTTGCCCCGCATCCGCAGGCACCACAGCATTTCGGCCCCCATGTGTAGAATATCCATGCGTGGGTCAGGTTGTGCGTGCATACGAAAGAGGGCTTGGACCCCGTTACAATCCTGGGCCACCTGAGATCACACAAGCACCAATTTATTCGGGGCTTAAGATAACGGTCTGACGCACGTGCCTAGGATTCGTGCAATTTCTACCTTCGCACAATGAGCACAGATCGGACCGAATGCGGACCTAATATTGTGTACGTCCGGAACAATTCGCCTGGCAGGGCCAGATAACGTTGCAGTAGGATTCCAGCTGCTAAATTGAGACACGTCCCATCTGACACTGTTGGGTCAGCATCCAACACCGAGCAGAATTGTGATTCTCTTTAAGTTACTGTGGTTTAAAGTTTCCGGGACTCGCGGAGCCCCGTCCATCGGCAAGCTTAAAGTTCATGGGAACTCTCTAAGGGAAGAAAAATAACATCTTTCTTCTCTAGAATTGCTGGTCATCATTTGTTGAAGATTAAAAAGTCGTCCATACGTCATGGCTACCATTGTTTTCGAAGAAGGTCCAAAGGCTCCTCGCCCAAGTGGGCTAAGGAAGCAACTTCTCTGCCATGTTGTTGATGGCATGGCAGCTTCGCGGCCGAATGCTTCGTACGCAGAATATCCTACGGACCCGAACTGCTATTCGAAGGGATACAGCAGGATCACATATGCCGCATTCGCCAATGCTATCAACGGGCTAGCATGGTGGTTGAAAGATCACATCGGCCACGCAGAAGAGTTCGAGACTTTGACGTATATGGGTCCGAATGACTTTCGGCACAATGCCTTGATTCTTGCAGCATGCAAAGCTGGGTACAAGGTTAGTAGAGGGAATTGAAACAATGAGAATGTTAGGAATTGCGGACTGACTCCTCATAGATGTTGCTCTGCTCACCTCGAAATACGATGGCGGGATACAAGAATCTTTTCGATACGCTTGAGTGTAAAAATCTGCTTGCAGCGCAACCACACCCCCAGATCGTTGACACACTACTCGAAGCCCACCCCCTCAGGCTGTTGAGAGTACCTAGCATAACTGAGTTACTTAGCCAGAAGTACCCTCACTATCCGTACGACAAGTATTTTAGCAAGGCTCAAGATGAGCCATTAGTCGTGCTTCATACGTCTGGGACTACCTCATTGCCGAAGCCGATTATCCTCACCCACAATTGGGTGGCCACCTGGATAGCGATGTGTCAACTTGAGCCACCAGCGGGAACAGAAAGTCTAGACCGGTTGCATCAGGGAAACAGGATGTTTGTCATGATGCCACCAGCCCACGTTCGTCATCGCCTAATCTCTGTTTGAAGTCCGCTCGCACTGATGAAGAATTCAGGCCGGAAACATCATGCCGACGCTGTTTGACGCTGTATTCAACCAGACCACTATCATTTATCCACTCCCCGATGTCACGCTATCGCCGGCGCATATTGTGGACTGTTTGAGCCATACGAAGGCAGACATTGCTCTAATTCCGCCATGGATGGTCCATGAAGTTGGCCAAAACCAAGAGCTGCTGGACTTCGTCGGCGAGAATCTCGAATCCATCTTCTACACGGGTGGGGACGTTGCTGAACCCTTCGGCGATGCAGTATCCTCACGGGTCAAGCTTTTCAATGTCAACGGGGCCACGGAGATGGCTAGCTTTCCTGCCCTGAGGCCCACTGGGAATTGGTCGTCAAATGTCTGGAAATATATCATGCCGCATCCTGTGGCCGGTATTGACTTTCGATGTCATTCCTGGGATGGAGGGGATGCCAAATATGAAGCAGTCATTGTGCGAAACGCTGATCCTGAATTCGTCCAACCCATCTTTACGGTGTATCCACATCTAGACGAGTATCATTCCGGGGACTTGTTCTCTCCACACCCAACAATACCTGGTCTTTGGGAATACCGAGGTCGTGGTGATGATTGCTTCGTTCTTGTAACTGGGTCCAACATTTGCCCGCTCATGATGGAACAAAAGGTCATCGTGCACCCTGAAGTTAAGGGAGTATTGATGATCGGCCAAAGACGGCCCGCTCCAGCCCTCCTCGTTGAAACTTGTTCAACCAAGGAACTGTCACCTGAAGCCCAAGCAGAGATGGTGGATATGATATGGCCGCTGATTGAAGAAGGGAACTTGTCATACTATGAAGCTGCCAGAGTAACCAAGGACCGTGTCCTCCTTACCTATCCCGACAAGCCTATGAAGCGGGCAGGGAAAGGGACAGTACAAAGGAGGGCTACTGTGGATATGTATATGAAGGAAATCGAGGAGCTGTACACAACTAAGAAGCACTATTGAGGTCTACACTCCAGGCTCCGCAGCGACTGCCAGAGTTAGACGGGGGGAATAATATTCAGGATAAGGAGATTGCGTAGGAACGAGTTGGCCCTTGGAATAGTGGTAAACTCGCAGGCGTTCGTGTGAGGCTTGAAAAACTGTCCATTGAAGCTTCTAGTTTAGGATATCGCTTGTTAGTAATACGACCGCAGGGGTTTCGTGTAATCACGTACGAGACAAATCCATCCATGGAAATCCAGGCCAGGCGTTGATAGTACATTCGGCATTGGAGATTTGAGTTTAGATATTGAGGATGCCTTCCTTTAATCTATTATGCTTGCTTAGCCCCTATTAAGGTCCGAAGTTGGACCCCGAAGTTACAGTGAAGACAGTGCTTGAGGCTTGGAGCCTCCCAACTCGGAGTCCGTAAAATCAGCAGATTTTCCTCAGCCAAGACAAGCTAATGCCGCACATAGCTTCTTCCGGGCGCTCATTATGGTGTCGATAACGAGTAGTGCAGATATTGCTCCAATTTTCCGCAATTATGGAGGAGGGAGTGCTGGGAAGAGGTTTCACTACAAACTGAAGGTTGGTTGCAGGTGGAGGAGGCTGAAGCCTGCCGGAAACAACGCCCCGATTGGTCTTGCCTCAAGCCGCCAAGCCAACGATAGATGCTTGCGAAAAAGTGTTCAAAGAGTCCGCAAGTTTTAGGAATAATTCTAAGAGGGACAATTGTACACCCGACAAAGACAATTGCATCACCGTCTCGATTTTCCTGAGGATACCCATTTAGATGCGGCAATAGCCGGGCCACATAGGCTACATCGAGAGCTCATCGAAATATTCTACCTACTGTAGGTACTGTTACGTAAAGTTTTTTGCGAATTTATTCTAGTTTCAAAACAGGGAAAGGATCCATAGATTGATATGCTTACAACGGAATCTTTATTAGGGAAATTCCAGCCAAGTCTGTCATCTTTGTTGAAACCAGATGCGACTGATCTATCGCTATATTCATTCGCGTTTCGAGCATAGCAATAATTATGAAGAAATTGTCCGTATCAACCTCTTAGGTGCTTGCCTTCAAGAAGATTCTTTGTTTACGACCTTTTTTCTTAGCAATAGACCATCTAATATCTTTTCATCTGAGACATTGCTCCCAAAATGGCTTAAGGGAGTCATTGAAAGTCTCGGATAACGCCTTATGCCTAGAATACACTATTGATATTCACAAACTACAGAAATATCAACATAAGGCGATTGTCTCTAGAACAATAATTTTGGGCCTGAGAAAATGATGGGGCTTCAGTACACAGATGTCGAGGCACTGTAAAAAGATATAAGCTGCATCATGTGACATTCACGTGATGCCTGCGTGACCTTCAAACCTTTAAAAACTAGAAAATAGTATATTCGCTCATAGTTCCTCTTTTCAATTGGGTTGGTTTTTATTCGAGTTACATATACCAGATTTTTCATCCAACATTTTCAAGTCACCACTCACGAAGGAATTGGCAGGTTAAGGCAAACCGCCACAGCCTGAGTCCCGAGGTAGAGCTTCGCCATCAAAACGCCATATTCTCAACCTTGCCCATTACCATGCCTTCTTATTCATCATCTACGTCCATTATACTAAAACAGCATGTTACTCCTCGAGGCTCTACCCCCCGAGAAATACGCAACGATCCTGTCTTCTGTCATATCTGCTGTAATCTATATGGAGGGTCTGCCTACAGCCTTATGCCTCGCAATGATATCTTTGTTTCCTCACATGCATTATCCAGGCACGATGTTAGAAGCGAGGCACTTGAAATTCCCAGCTGGGCTGGTATCTCTCGCCTGGACACCGCTGCTTGGCAGTTTACTGCATCGGCGGTGGACGTCAGGAAGGGTGCTGAGGCAGGCTGTGGGGGATGTGAAGTGTTGAAGAAAGGCCTGGAAGGCATCGCACCTCTGCACAGCGAAGCTGAGGAAAGAAACAAGATGAACCAAGGAGATTCGATCCTGTGGTTCGAAAATGAGATGATCGAATTGAAGGTCGTGTTCTGTGCCGGTCAAGTGCTCAGAGTCTATGTCGACGAGATGAAGAATGGGAAGGATGAAGACGAAGATGGGGCCCTTGGGGGTCCTTTATATGAACCGCCGAGATTTGTCGAGAGATATCTAGGGATGTTCGAGTTCTATTGCCTGCCAGGTATGAGTTTATTAGAGTATATGAAATTCGCTATCGAAAAGACAGAGTTTACCCACAAATATTTATTTTAGAACTGCTAATGACTCTGTAAATAGGAGAATGTTGTCCGTGGACCACAATTGGCTCTTCAATGACCTTAGAAGACCCCTACTTAGATTCTGAGCCCTGGGAAGGAGGTCCAGTGCAACATGTCCCGGAAAACCCGCGACTAGACGCGGGTATTAAAATGATTCGGCGATGGGTTGCAGATTGCAATGAACAGCATGGAGATTGCAAGAATGTAGCAAGTTTATCGGACGACTTTACCCTGCCGAAGCGTGTATTAGATGTCGGCGAGGACGAAAATTCCATCCGGCTTTTGGAACTCGAGAATGCTTATGCAAACAAAGCTATTAGCTTGCAGGATACGTCATACATTGCGCTTTCCCACTGCTGGGGTCAAAGTCAGCATCTTGTTACTACCACAGTGACTCTTGGTCAACGCAAACAGAGCATTTCCTGGGAGTCCCTGCCAAAGACATTCCAAGACTCTATTTTAATCACTCGCATTCTTGGTCTTAAATATATCTGGATTGATTCCCTCTGCATTATTCAGGACTCCCTGCAAGACTGGGAGATGGAGGCCGCGAAGATGGGTGACATATACAATAATGCATACCTTGTCATCTCAGCTACCGGCTCCGTTGATGGTGACGGAGGTTGCTTTTTCCATCGACCTGGATACACGAAAATTGATGTAAAGGACAACGAGAGTGCCAGTGCACAGATATATGTGAGAAGGTGGAAAAGTCATGCGCCGTTCGGCTGGAATACTCCACTTCGTAAAACTGGAATGTGGAGAGCAAATAGAGCCGGCTGGCGGACGGACACGTCTGGGGAATACCCGCTGTTCAGCCGAGCCTGGTGCTTTCAGGAGCGAATGCTAGGAACGAGAGTGCTGCACTTCGCGAAAGGCGAGATGGTATTTGAGTGCCTGGCAGCCATGCAATGCGAGTGTGGTTCCATGTCTGACTACGTAGGAGATCCGCTCCTCCATTCTCGGGGCATCCTGCGCTATGCTAGAACAGGTAGTGCAAGAGCTGCGGGTGGATACGGTTCGGATGATTTGTTTGCCATTTGGGGGGATATAGTTGTGGAGTACTCACGGAAGCGAATCACATACGCGACAGATATGTTCCCCGCTCTCGCCGGTATAGCAAGAAAATGGTCGACACTCGTTGGAGGCCGTTATCTTGCTGGAATCTGGAGCAGTGATATATTGCGCGGTTTACTATGGAAATCCACCGAACCTGACCCAGAGCATGACAATGACACTTATCTGGCGCCGAGCTGGAGCTGGGCCAACATTCGGCGTGGAATTGACTGGATACCGGGTGGCCAGGCCACCAAGTACTATATTGAAATCGACTTGGCAAAGACTCAGTGTATACATCACGGTTTCAATCACTTCGGTAGATTAAAGGACGGGGCGCTGTTCCTGAAGGGTCCGGTTGTCACAGGCACACTGATATCGATTGACAAAAATACCGATAGAGAGCCGACAGGATATGTTAAAACGGTAGGTTTGTGGACAACAAGCTTTGCTGTGGATAATGTCCGTCGTTGCGAGAGGCGGATGGATGGAGAGGTGCTGGTCCTCCGATACTGTACAGATGTCCTAGACGAAAAGACCGGTCGGGGCTTTGGGCGAGCGCTGATACTTGGATCCGTACCCGAGGAAGTGGTTACCAAACGCCTAGAAGATGTGCGAAAGTGGAATGGTGGGGTGTACGAGAGACTTGGAATAACGGAGTACTGGTCTGGAGATGACTGGTCTGGAGAAACGATGGAAGATCGCAGCTTATACATTATCTGAGACGGGTTGAAGTGAAATGGGACACTCTCTAGATACTTCGACTGCTTTTGTTGCTGGAAACCTTCCACCAGCCGAACATCTTGATGCGTATCTCTCTGGAAAGCTGCTTGATGGCAGACTTGGCAATAATCAAGTTAACTTGTTAACTTAACTTAATTAACTTAATACTATTAAGTTAATTAAGTTAAGCATAGAAGCTAAATTTATTAAGTTAATTAAGTAAATCTTACTTACTTAATTAACTTAATTAATAGACTTAATAGGCTGTAATATTATAAGTTTTACTAGGGGATTACTAAAGGTTATAGTATCTTCTAGTACATAGAGTAGTAAATTCTAGTTACAGCTACTAAAGTAGTACCTTACTGCCTACCTAATAAAGCTTAGCGTCTTTTATTCTGCTAACATAAAAGCTTACTGCCTACCTAGTAGAGCTTAGTGCTTATTTAAACTTATTATAACTTTAACATGTTATCTTGCTTACTCTACTAATACTTATCTTTATTAATACTAACACTCTCTTTATTAATATAGTGTTGCTTAATTATATAAAGGGTATAAATAGTAACCTTATTTAAGTTTTTAGCTAGCAGCTTAAAAGCGCAGTGTTATAAACTATTTTTAAAGATAGCGCTACTAATATAGCTACTAACATATTACTAGAGCTTAACGCTAATAAAAGCTTTATAGGCAAGTTATAATTAACTACTAATAGTAATATTAATAATAATAATAATAATAATTATAATAGCATTAACTAGCTACACTTATTAAGTTATTATAAGCTACTCTACACACTAAAGCGTAGTTAAAAGAGCTAGGTTTAGTAATATAAATATTACTTTTAGCATTAAAAGTAATAACACCTATATTAGCTCTACTATTACTACTACACTTATAGGCAACTTAATAGCTTTTATTAAGCTAATTTATTAACTATATTAATTACACGCTATCTTAGAGAGTGTAAAGCTAGCTATAGTATTAATAAAAATAGTAAAAAGTCTACCTACTATGTTATAATAACATCCTCTACGTAATTCTCTCTACTTGCCTATATTTATTATAAAGGCTTTAAAGTATTATAAGGTGTTACTAATCTTATTATATTAAGCTTTTTATGTATAACTTTTTTATAGTTAGTACTTAATTAGGTAGTAGCTAATAACTAAGCGCTTTCTATAATTAAAAGCGCAGCTTTTTATAACATATTATAGCAGGCTAACCTGTTAGCAAAGACAGAGCTCTAGAGATTCTATAATACTTTATAAGCTTATATAATTACTAAGTATAAGTTCTATATGCTTACTATTATTAATTACCTATGTAATATATAATTAGCTATTTATATCTTCTTTAATAATTAGACATTAATAAGTAGTAAATAGGTGTTAATAAGTATTTATATTTACTACCTTAATAGTAATAGTAAGCCTTATAATTACATATTAGGCCTGCCTTTATTAATAGGCTAGTATATAAGTGTTAATATTACTACTGTTATTAACACTACACTTAAAAGCTTTAAGATATCTGTGTGTAACTTAGGCTACTTTATTCTTAATAATGCTACTAATAATAATACTGCTATTAACGCCCTAGCTATTAAATATAGCTTTAACACCTATTATTAATACTTATGTTGCGCTTACTATATAATTAATTTTACTACTTAATAAATTATATTTAGTAAAGATTAAAAGGCATTTAATAATATAAAAAAGCACTTAAATAATAAGGTAGCTTTTTTTAATAAATAGTAGTAAGCAGGCCCTTTAGGCGTCCTAATTAATGTTATTACCTTTATTTATACGCTACAAGCTTGCTAGCTTCTTAAATAATACTAAGTAGCCTACAACACTTAATTAGATAGTAATAGTAAGGTAAAAATGCTAAAGATTATTAAGCTAGTAAAAATAAAATAAAACTTTTATTATAATTATTTTTTACACGCGCTTAAGCTTTACATGCCTTTTAATAACTATATTAACTATAAGCTTATTAAGTACTAACACTAAAGCACTTATTAACACTTATAACTACTTAATTTTAAGTAGTGTTACTTTATTTAAAAAAATAGCTTTAGTGTAAAGAATTAAGTAATAATTATAAAGTATTATAAAATCTTACAACTTTTTAAAAAGGCTACTATTTATATAAAAAGTAGGGGCGTAGCTAGTATGTTAGAAGTAATATAAAAGGTTTTACTTACACTTACCTAGCTTTTTACTACCTTTAATAATATGCTTTATTAATATAATAATGTTAACTTTAATAATATTAATGCTTTAAAAGACTATATAAAAGCTACTTATAATATAGCTTATATAAAGATCTATAAGTATCTGCATAAGTTAAAGAATACCTTAGCATATTATATAGCCTGCTGTCTCCACCTGCGCATAAAAGGCTACATAAATAAAGTGTAAAAGGTGCTTTATAATTATAATAAAAAGCTTTACATAAAGCCTTACTTTTATAAAGGCTAGCTAGATAATTACTACATTAGCTTTTAACACTTATAAGTAAAGTTTAAAGATGCTACCTCTCTAATTAGTACACTAGAGCTACTACTAAAGAAGGCGTGTACTAGGCTGTCTAGAAGCTAGTTAGACTTTATAAGAGCTACTTTATAAAGTAACAACACACACTTATCTCTTTACTATAATAAGTTTAAGTAGTAGATAATTAAGTTACCTATACTAAAAAAGTTTTTATTTACACATAATCTAATTATTTACTAGATTAGAAAGGCTAATAAGTACTCTATTTTATTACACTTTACTCTTATAGTTTTTAGTATCTCTACTATAGCTACTAACTATAAGAGGACTTTTTCTAAATTAAGTAATTTATTAAAGATAAGATAATTACACATAAAAGTAAATTTTTTATTTACTTTATAATTACTATATAGCTAAAAGCGCCTTAGCTTAAAGCCTATAACAGCATTAAACAGTCCCTATAATAATAGTATCTCTTCTAAAGAGCTTAAGACTATCTATAATATCTACAGTTAATTTAATACACTGTAACTACGCTATAAAGCTATTAATTAAGTTAAGTGTCCGTACGCAGCAGCAGCGTCACAGTCTGGATACGAGCGATCGCGCACAAGCAGGACCACGTATCTCTGTCACATGATGCTCGTGCGCGAACCTC